CGTGTTTAGCAGAACCGCACACTCCAGATACAACATACTGGGGCGTGTGGTGTGCTCCTCTCTTTTCAAGCCTGAATGCTGATCACATTTCAGCCTCGTGTGAATTCGGGGCCTAATGGAAGCGCTGCTCTATAATCTAAATCTTTAATAGTGGCAGCTCTGCTCTCTATTCCTGGCTGCTGCCCTCTTCCTCTCCACAGTGGCCCTTTGCTCTGACACTGTTCTGGGCATTGTTCTGAGCATTGTCCTCAGCAGAGCAGTGGAAGGGCAGCCCGTGGACACAATCGCCTGCATTGTCAAGACATTGGAGTCAAGGCCCCAACCGTAAAAGGCAAAAGCCAATTGAAAGCCAGTTGTGAAATGCCATTGAGAACTACAATGACATCTTAGCAAGCGTTATGTAAAGGGATTTTATGCAACTAGGTTTACCACCGAGTTGCTGAGTTCTAATGGCACAAAATAAAAATAAAATAAAAATGTTTTCCTACACTTTCCTTCACTCCTAATTTTCTCCTGAGATTATAAACATTTCAGTGTGATTGTGAACCACAAGAGACGTTCATGATAAATTCAAAATAAGAAAAGAATATGAAATTCCATAGAAAGTGCTGTGTTTTATTGTAAAAGAGACATTTTCATAGATTCATAATTTGATTTGTCTTGGAAATATGCCACATTTAAGTAGATATGATATAAATTGAACTCTAGAAATACTATAACCAGTATAATTTTCACATTTACTTTCATCTTGACCGTTTTACTAGCAGTGTTGGTTTTATTTCAAAAAGGTAATTATTTATAGTTACTGATTACTTCTTCCCCAAAATGATTGTGACCCTTATTTTTTGATAGTGAGTCAATTGGGGGAAAAAGCGCTCATATTTCTGCTTCAGACTTCTACTTCCACGACCCAGCAATGGATAAAGAGTAGGGAGATGGATGTATTTATTTAATTGTGAGTGAGTGAAAGAAAACCAGAACATAGTAACCATAATAACCATAAGCAAGCTAGCTATCCTGCTCTGTGCACAGAACTCATAGAATGATTTGCAGTCCTTTATTTTAGTTTGACATTGTTCACATTATTCATGTCTAAAACCACTCCTACGACAGTATACAGTACATTTTACAAACATGTCAACAACACTGCCCCCATCTCACCACATCCCTGCACCATTCTGTTTCTCAGAGTCTTCTGTCCTCCTCTGCAGAGTCAGATCAGACTGAGTCAGGCTCCAGTGTGATCCCAGCCTCATCTGTCACCGGGGCAGCCCATAGAAGACACAGGCTCTAAATACACTGCTGATGTTTACACTGGAGCTCCTGCCGTCCTCTGAGTCACGCCTCTCTGGCACGTCCTCGGCCAAAGCAGAACAGGATGGGTCACTTAAGTCCCAGTGACTTTCAGATCATGTCAGCATGTTAGGTGGAATCACATGTTTCCAGAATGACTGGATGTAGTATCGGCCTCAGGAGTTCTGCTCTCAGTCAATTAGTCTGAAGGTGCTTTTCTTTGATGTACCTTATTATAAAGTGATTTTATCAAAGGAATGAAAAGAAGATAAAATACAATAATATACAGAAAATATAAATACAAATGAAAACAAAAATACAATCAACTAAATTCTAACGCAGTCGAGAAATGGCTTAATCGCAAAGGGTTGGTCTCTATATTTAACATATAACCAGTTCCTCGCTTAAATGATGAAACAAATGGTGAGGATAGTCACGTTAGTGCCCAAAGGAAGTGTGTATTAATATCGGGTGTGAATGTGAAGGTATGTTGATTATACTTTGGTCTTAAGCGGTTTTGAAAATAAATCAAATCACAGATACGGGGTGGGTAATATGGCCAAAAAATCATATTGCAGTTTAATTTGGTGTGTGAATTTCAATATACTGTAGGTCTAGCAGGTTCTTGAATAAAATAGTCAAGATTGTTACTTATTTTAGAGCTGGATAATGTAATCATTTGATACTTTTAGCATTTCATTGACATTTAGTGAGTGACCAAGAGAGCCACCCATTTGTGAGTTAAACAATTGTAATAATTTATCCTGTTATCATACATTCAAACAAACAAACATAGTCAAGTCTCGTTGAACACAATTATTCATTATTTAAACAAGTAAAGGACTAATCTAATCCAGAATAAAACTGTGTTTGCCTCCGTGAGCCTTTGAACGCATCTGAGCACTAGCTGCACGGCTACTATAAGTATTTGTTTCTCTGAGCTTTCTTCCGCCATTTCTCGTAATAAACCTTGATACATATGAGCACAAATCAATAATATAATACAAACAACACAAACTGTTTACATGTTTATTCACACTTTTGACATGCACAACTGAACTTCCTGACGAATCCGGTTTCCGGGATGGATCCAGCAGCCACACTCTTCGTGGTTGTTGCCAAACGTGTTGCATTTTGATGACATAATGACCTGTCGCAATATGCCGGTGTAACACAAATCTCTATCGTTGGCCACATTTTTATTGCATACCGTTAATATCGCCCAGCCCTATCACAGATACACAGAATGAATGAATGAAAGAAGTCACTTGAACATTTTACACATTCTCAGGACAGTAAATTACAGCAGAAAGACTGAAAAGGAGTCGGATGAAGCTAAGGCTACCCTTTTTACAAGTGTTTACAAGTGTTTACAAGTGTTTACAAGTGTTTACAAGTGTTTACAAGTGTTTACAAGTGTGCACATGTGTATCTAAAAGCTCAGGCTAATGTGACCCTCATTTAGAGACATATGCCAAAACTGTACTAAGTGTGACTTAAAGTAAAGGTGATTTATTTTTAGTCTAACATTCTGACAGCTGTGATACTGACGGTTTGGTCCACACCTCCTTTACCTCCATTCATAAAAAGTGCTCAAATAAGCCTTTCCTCATTCTTCTGAAGTCAGTCATACTGCAGTGATGGGCGTGGCTGTGTGGAGAAGGGTGAAGTCCGTCACTGCGTTTACACGCACGGGTTAAGCCTGTGTCCAAATTTTATCCAACCAAGATCTGGCACATTTCTGTTTTGATTTCATTGAAAATATAAGATTAGATAAGATAGACTTTATTGATCTCACACAGGAGAAAGATACACGTCACATCTGGCATGGATTGAATCGCTCAAGATTGTGCAAAAGATGTGTGTATCTTATATTGTAAGTCATAACTACTTGATGTACAGTAGGGCTGGACCATATGGCAAATAACGTATGCCACAATATGACGGGGTAATAACAATATAATTCACCATAGATAACGCTGGGAAAATGTTCAAAACGGCACATAACTTAACAACAAAAACTAGCTTTGCTCTCAAAACTTTTTGGCTTTATCATTAGTTTCCACATGCATGTATTTTAGGATTCTTTCACATCTTTAGGTCAGCTATTCAGACAGAAAGGTGAGTAGGAGAGAACCACCCTCACTCAGCCAATCATTTAAGAGTCCAAATGTTTTCTAATTCAATAATAATTCAATTCCATTTCAAATACATTTATTTTTGATGGTGCAAGTTACCATACTTCTTGCTTCTCCCTGCATAACGTCTCCCTATGCAGTTTGACTGACAATCTGTTTTTACCATGGATCTATAATATCTGGATAGGATATTACTAGATTATAGCTGTCCCACCCATGGCCACAGGGGGCGCTGTGGTACTGCAGACTAAATTCACGAGGGCTACCCAGAAAAAAGTCCCATAGAACTCAATGCAAACTAAAACAGCTCGATCTTTTAGCTGGATTTTAGTGTCCCTTGTCGTCCTGGGCTTTTTTTTCTTGTTAAATCCCTCATTTTTCTGTAAATCCACACTTTAGTGGAACAAACTCTGCTTGTTTGGCTCCCGCTCTTGCTCCACTCTGATCAGCGGCGCCTGATGAGTCAGAACGCGCCGAGCCACACATTCGTATTTGGCGCAAAGCATCATGGGATATCGTCCACTGCGCAGAACCATGAGGACCAGAGAAATGACAAAATATGGGCGAGTTCCGCTAATCTTTTGGTGCCCACGGTGGCACATGTGCTACTGAGGACAAGCCATTGATTGAATAGGCGCCATCTTGGATCGCCGGGGCTTGATACAGTCCCTCAAAATGATATTGGAACATTATTTTATTGCCCAGCCCTGCAGTTCACAGGGCCATCTGCACATGTAATCTACAGTTTTAGAAACATAAAATTGCAGCTGCTTTGGTGCAGTGTGAGTATAGGTGCGAGTGCATTGACCCTGTCTTGCTTTTCTCAAAGAGGAAGTTAAGCAGAGAATATGAAGTCAAAGATGTTGCAGTTGGGTTTGCATTCATACAAGAGGAGATGAGTGACATGTTGAACTGACATGCTTAGTGCCATGCAAGACATTTCTTACAAGCACAAGTGCTCAAGACCGCTTTCATTGTGATTTTTGCCTCATTTAAACATACCATGCCTGTGCAGATGTCATGGTCCATGGCCATTGAAATGACATACACAGAAAGTGTTTTATTGTTTAGGTTTCTCTACAGGAAGTCAAAACAAAAAACTTAAATCGTGGTTCTGCTTTATGCTCTAATGTTAGAGCTCTAAGGTAAAGTTACAAGATTCCTGAAAGTGTCATAATCTAAATCCTTTGTGGCCAATGGAATATCGCCCCTTTGTATCCTGAGACAAGAGTGGTGTGCGTTTGCTTGTGTACTACGGTGGTCCATATTCTCTGCACACGTGGACACTCCTGCCAACGACCCCCTGTGAATGTGTGGAGATGGACATAATCAATGTGTGAACAAGTTGGGCAAGGCAGGAGGACAACATTAGAAAGACGTGACATTGACAATGTTGTAAACATGGTTAAAAAGACAGTATAGACATCTTGAAAAACATTTTGTATTATATTTTACTCTATATGAAACAGAAAAGATCATTTCCTTTCATGTGCTTGTTTTCTCAATAAGCAGAGGATGTGGTGTTTTTATGAAGAGATGTAATCGTGTAAACTGTGTGTGTTTTGACAGAGGGGATCCCGCAGGTGTACTACTTTGGCCCGTGTGGTAAATACAACGCCATGGTTCTGGAGCTGCTGGGGCCCAGTCTAGAAGACCTATTTGACCTCTGCGACCGCACCTTCTCTCTCAAGACCGTCCTCATGATAGCCATACAGCTGGTAAGAGCTAGCACTGTCACCACTATTACTGTGAAAAAGGTGTGGGCGATGACTATAACAGGGGATAATATCACAAAAGTAACCTTGACAATAAGCTTTTTCACATTATGGAGATACTAGCTTTATCTCACTTTCGCCACTTCGCCTGTTTGCCTTCTCTGTGCTGCACTCGCCCCCACCTCCTTTTGCTACACCCCGGCCCCTCCCCTCGCCTGTGTCTCATCCAAGAGGTGGTGGTTGCTATAGCAGCATAGATGTAAACATGCTCGGAGGAAACAAACTTGTGTAAAACCTACACCTAGACCGAGTTCTACACCTGATGAACCACAGTGGCTTTACACCAGAGACTGTAAACAGCTATAAACACAACACAGATACAGATGACCGAGTCGAGGAATTACTTTGTGATACAAGAATTCCCACAAATTATTTTTTCTTCTCCATATCGCTCAGCCCTACTGTGAAATACATGCAGTCCTAAGACCCACAATTGACCCAAAAAGTTGGATAACGGTTTTAGTCCAAGCGTCAATAAATAAAAGTGTGATAGTAAATATTTTTAATAATCATTTGACTGGTTTTGGTTTTGCTCCTACCTGATTGTGGAAATCGGGTACGAGCTTTCTCTAAGTTTGGAATGAAGCCAGGAGACTGTGGTTACAGCACTGATCATTGAATACAGTAAATAACATTAGAAACACTCGGCAGGATCAGTCCTGAACTATTGCTTGTAGCAGTGAATTATCAGTGAACTCGAACGAAAGGTTTGAGAACTGTATAACTTCATGAATAAACTGAAATATAGGTTTGATATCAGTCGATTGACACTCAAGGCTGCTCTGTCTTTACAATATGGATCCAATGTGTTATTATAATTATTAGTACCGGTAAGCATAAGTAAAAGGAAGTGGTCAAAATATTTTTACATCTTTAACATGTCGTCCCAAAGCCTAACCCTAATTGATATTATTCCCATTTAAACATATGGTGCCGGCCCAAAACTTTAATCTTTTATTTACATTCCTGTTTCAAGGGTCACAAAAAGCACCAAAAAGTGAATATTTCTCTGGTGGAGACAAAATACCAAGATACTAATAAGACCCGTAGAGTCAAAATATGTCCTTAAACGCTTGAATCAGTTTTCTTTACAAACACACAAACATGCCTCTTATACAGGGGAATAAATTGGGAAATAATGATTAAATATTCGTGCCGGAGTGAGGCACCGGAGTGTGAGGCCTGTGAGTGTGACAGGCACCGGGATGATGTTTTTCGTTTCAAATAGGTGAATGAATAATAACTCTTGTCTCCAACTCTAGCATGAAGAGAAGCAGTATACAATCTCTTTACGGCTTATCCGTGAAACCACGCCCCACGACGCAGTCACGTCTGCTCACAAGAGTTGCATTTAACAAGTTTGTTTTTGGTAAAATGAAATACACAGTGGGGAAATGATTAAAATGTGCAATTAGTTTAAAAATGTATGTTTGTTGAGTTTTCTTTTGAGAAAGCTAATTTACTGTGCGTGCTGCATTCTGGTGATGGCAAATCCCAATGTAGTCACACAAAACAAACACAAAATAAAAACAAATGAGAGAAAAAGAGATAAACACACAACATTCCATGACAAATGTTACACTAATTACTTTCAACTATATCAATGCAATGTTCTTTGTTGATGACCTACCGAGCAGCTGAAGCCCTCTAACCTCCCACACCTTTTTACTTGACTGCAGATTACGCGGATGGAGTTCGTGCACACTAAGAGCCTGATCTACAGAGACGTGAAGCCGGAGAACTTCCTGGTGGGACGCCCGGGCAGCAAGAGGCAGCACACCATCCACATCATCGACTTTGGTCTGGCCAAAGAGTACATCGACCCTGAGACCAAGAAACACATCCCTTACCGCGAGCACAAGAGTCTGACCGGGACGGCGCGCTACATGAGCATCAACACGCATCTGGGCAAAGGTCTGACCAATCAAATCCTTAACGACTTAACCTGAATCTAAGCATTTTACTGCAGAGGACAAAACTGAGTTAAGTCCGGGCGCTGCGGTGTGAAAATCCAGTTTATTTGGCGTGACTGGATCTTACCATTTCCACTCTGGTTTCACAGTGTGCGTTTACAAAGTATAAGAATGTTTTAAATAACCACACTCGATTGGGTGGGATTATCAAACTGGTCTTGGCTCTAGACCACTCCAAGACTCCACCCATTTCCTCGAGTTCAGTTTTAACCTGAAGATCCAAGGAAGTGGGTGGGGTCTGCTCTGCTCCTGCTGGGTCTGATATACAACCCTTGAGGATAGATTTTTGACACCCCTGCTCAAGACTTTTGGGATCTCATGACTTTCCCTTATTGCTCAAACTGTGTAATTGTAATGGTAAACACACTGCTCTCAAACATACACTATAAGCACACTGTCTGCGATCCAAATCAACATGGTTTCATTTGGGCATTTGACTTTCACACATGCTCAGCTGCTGCAGCACAAAGGATTGAATATCTGCAGTGCTGTTAAAAGCACCGTCATTCCTGTTAAATTGTGCTTTTTCTTTGTGTAACAAAACAAAACATCAGAGCATATGCAGTGAGGGACGATGTATTGATCCCAGTCAAAATGAGTGTGTACCCGATCAACATACTCATGAATGAATACACGCGCTTCTATTCTAAATGAGTTTTAGGCACTTTATAACATTGTCCCTCATCCAAAACACACCTGCAGTTTGAGTTTTCTGTTTTCTGTTTCAAACGCCTCTCCCCACCCCTTCTGTCTAAATGCTCCTTTTTCAAACACTTTGCTTTGACCAATCCTCAGACTATGGCATCACGGTCAGAGCTGCACTCAGACATAAATCAGGCAGTGAAAGTAATGCCATTTTGAACACAACTTATGCTGAATAATTGTATTTTAAACATAAACACAATATGCGTCATTTCTATCGCAGACTTTGGTTGAGTTCTAACCAGTGGGCTGAGATTAATTAGCACTATTTGGTGTTACATCACGGATGTTGTGGGAGGCCTATTTTCAGTAAGAAGCGCCACAGGAAGACGAGAAAATCTGTCACCTAACTCCAAACAATATGAGCTTTAGGTGCTGTTTACACGCCACGCTGCAGTAGTAAAACGTTAGAGTTGGGAATCGGATTGGCTTTTTGTTTACATGAAGACAGTGTTTTGGGTTTGGATCATTAGGCATAACAGCATCTAGAGTGAAACAGAGCAGAGACGCTGCATGGAAAGGGGCTGTGTGAAGAAAAATGTGTAAATTCTCTGGCTGCTATGACCTCAACACTTCCCCCAAGAACCAACGTAAACAACAATGACGACGGGTCAACTAATGCTACGTGTGCTTTGAGCGCTACACGGAGGAGAATTCTACTCCTTCGTCCGTCCAAACGAAACCACGCAAAGCTGTAGTTTCAGATTAGATTTTTTCTGCAACTGCTAAATGTAGAATGATGTGCATCCTCCTCAGCCTTTGGTGGCCTGAGGAAGTGATTATACTGGTGGGGTCGCGCGTGTCGTGATGTAAAGTTCCACTGCCCCCTACTGGCCAGGCCCTAGAACTACACCGTGTCCACTCAGGAGCCTGGTTGTTTTTGCTAATTGCTTTGCAGCGTCTCGGTCCAAACGGGGACTTACTAATGCAGTGTTAATACTAAATAAAGCTGTTGTGTCTGAAGTTGGCAGGGGTGGCAAGTAGGACTTAACTACTTATTTTTAACCCAAATGTATGTTTTGTCAATGTTTGAAGTGGCCATGTTGTTTGGGGAATTATATAATTTATCTTAGGCATTCTATCAAGTCCAGACCATTTCTGCTTCAGTTTCTATTGTTTCTATTTGATTTGTTTATCGTAAAATTCCTATTCCAATAGGAACAATGTCAAAATGGTATACTGTTGTCAACTATTCAACAAGAACATGCCTTTGACGATATGCTTTTTGACTTAAGTCCTTAAAAAAGCTTGTACTTTCATATTTTTACTGAATGATTTGAGTACTTTTATTTTAACCAGAGGTACGCATACTAATATCTGTACTTACCTATATTTAAGTCACTAAGACTGGTACTTTTGTCACTTCTGCAGATAAATAAACTGCATCTGGAAATGTAGACTTGCTAATCTGATTTGTTTTTTTCTGTGTGTTCCAGAGCAAAGCAGGAGGGACGATTTGGAGGCGCTGGGTCACATGTTCATGTACTTTCTCCGAGGTAGCCTTCCATGGCAGGGCCTAAAGGTACGCACGTTTCTCATTGGACTTTTCACTTGATTCAAGAAAACTCTCACTAAAGAGTTTGTCTGTCAGCTGGTGTTGATAACTGCCTGATTTCAGGGACTTTGGGATCTCTTCTCCCTGATACTTTGGAGCCCAGTTTTTGTAAATCTGAAGAAAGCTTAATAATAATAATAATAATAATAATAATGGATCAATTTTATTTAGCGCTTTTTTTGACACACAAAGACTCTTTACATGTCATTATTCATTCAGTCCATACACACTGGTGATAAAATACTACTGTAGCCACAGCTGCCCTGGGGCACACTGACACAACCAGTATGTGCCTTCATCCCCTCCTTCACACACACCAGACTCATTCTAGGCAATGGGGGTGAAGTGTCTTGCCTAAGGACACAACAGCAGTTTGGCACTTTACAGCCGCATCCGCCCCACTGTGGCTGGTGTTCCCAGAGGTTAAGTGTCTTGCCTAAGGACACAACGACAGCAGACAGTGGGAGTCAATGGAGAAAGTCTTATGGTGGGCTCGAACCCACGACCTTCTGGCTCAAAGGCCAATTCTCTACCAACTGAGCTACTGTTGCCTTTAGTAAATCAGACCCCTGGAGTTGTTTTGTTCCTCCATCCACTCTTTTGGCACCAAACAGTGTTATTTTTCAGTAAGATAAGATAAACCTTTATTAGTCTCACAGTGGAGACATTTCAGTACATTCAACATCGTTCATGGACTCGGGCCGATGGTTCTATGTGTTAGGGTTATCTTCATCATTGCACTGTTGTCGAGTCGACTGCTTGTAAAGTTCTCCGAGATACTGTTGTGATTTAGGGCTATAATAAATTGTATTAAAATTACTTTCTCCAGTCAGTTGGCATTCCTTCAATTACACTGCTCCATGTCACGTATGTTACACCATGACACGCTAAAGCAAAACTTCATGAATATATAATCTTATTTAAGGATGCTAGAATCATGTTTTATTTTGACAAATCTGGATGGATCTTAAACAAATGTGTGATATTGCTGGAGGCCGTGGGGTACCGTGAGCTGTTGTGTAAATCAATAGCAGCAGTCTCAAAGGCTCGCACAAGACTCCATTTGTTGTGTGGGAGGCTCTTGTTGGATGGATTCATGTGGAGGACGAGAGGCTCAGGCCAAAGCAGCTGCACCTACACAAAGCCTGACGGCGCACATCAAATAACATCTACTTTCATGTTTAGCGCCTGGATTATAATAGATTATTATTGTGAAAGATTGCTGAAAATTGTGTTGGTCCATTTGTTATTATTATTATTGTTTCATAATAATTTGTTACTAACTGTTATTGGCACCAGCAACGCTCATGCTCACAGTGAAACCTAGCCTGGTCGTACCACACCATAGTACAAATTACATTTCGTACTAAGGTCTGGAGGTGCTCCATTGACTCCGTGAACAGGTGGGAGGGGCTAACTCCTTTTGCAGATTTGCAGTTTCTTGATAGAACCAGACCAGATTACTTTACTATTGCATTTTTCGTTACAAAACTACAACCTGCCCGTTCGACGCAAACTCTTGACGTCACCCACATCTAACTACAACACCCGCCTCCCGCGCTCTCTGATTGGTCGGTCGAAATTCAACCGATTGTATTCGCTAACACAGGGACCAGACCCAGACGTTACATGCAGGAGATGATGATTAAACAGAGAGTACGGATGGATAAGACCAGGGTAGAACTAATTGTGATCGTTCAAGAAGCAGACTTTGTTTTGTATTTCTGGTTTGGTTGTTGCTGCACTTTAAGTATTGTCTCATTCCAAATCCAAATCCAGCAGTGTTTAGAGTAAAAAATGTGAGAAATGTGTCAATCTCCCCCAATATGTTTCGGCCTGACGAGATATAAAAATGTGTATATTTTCTTTTACTGCATAAATGCTTTTTTAACTAATCTAACGTTAACATGTTAGACTTCAGTTTTGAAATAAAGTGCAATGGATCGGCTCACACTGGCGTTAATTGAATTCAGCATGGCATTTTCTTTGTTATTAAGTATATTCTTTTTGTGTTTTACAGGCAGACACTTTAAAAGAGAGGTACCAGAAAATTGGGGACACCAAAAGAGCCACGCCAATAGAAGTTCTCTGTGAAAGTTTCCCTGGTATTTCTCCAGATTTCCCCCCTTCCTTTTCTTTGCTGGAGTGGTATTTGACACAGTCTTTGTTGTTGTAGAGATGGCCACCTACCTGCGATACGTGAGGCGCCTGGATTTCTTTGAGAAGCCAGATTACGACTACTTACGGAAGCTTTTCACAGACCTGTTCGACAGAAACGGCTATGTCTTTGACTACGAGTATGATTGGGTTGGCAAATCACTTGTAAGTACTCTCATTCCTTTTAGTAATGTACGTGATATAGAATGGGACTATTAACAGTGTTACACATTTTCATCAACAACTAGAAAATGTGTTTAAGCTTTGAAAAAACTTCAATCAATGCTGCTAAATGTGTAGGGACTCATGGCTTTGGAGAACCGTTAGCCGAGATGCCTCCCAAATCCTTAACCTTGGATCCCTGGATTGGTCTGGTAGTTTCCATACTGGTATCAGTAATATTCTGCCCTATACGCAGCTATATTTCAGAAATGGGACAAGATTAGAGAAAGAAAGTAGGCAAATGCTCTTTATCAATGTGTATAATGTACAGCAACAGAATGAGACCAGATGAGCATGTTCAAAAATAAAGTCAAAAAATCAATAGTTTTTATTATTATCCGTCCATCCATTTCTGGGTCTGGGAGGTCCCTCACTGATCTCCTCCTTAAGGTGGATCCTCTGTTTAAGGCCCTGTTTATACTGAGACGCTGCGCAGACGTTTCCAGGCTATTAACAGAAACAGCCAGGCTCCTAATGCAAATTTCTCAGCGTTCACATGAGGTTGAAAAACGATGTAGTTCTAGCGCCCGGCCAGTAGGGGGCAGAGAAACTTTACAACACTCACACGACCCCCAGCCCCGTGCCCAGCCCCCTCTCTGCAGTGTACTCACTTCCTGTGCCAGACCCTCAGAACGCACCAACATCATTCTGCATTTTAACAGCAGCTGCGAAAATGGGAACTGAACCTAGAGCTTCGCGTGGTCTCGTTTGGACGAACGAAGGAGTAGAATTATCCTCTGTCCCACGCTGGAAGCCCACGAAGCTAGTTAGTGTGAGCGCCGCCATTGTTGTTTGCGTTTGTTCTCCGCTACTGCGCATGTCCAAATGTACGTGAGGGAGCAGCAGGAGGTGGGGGTCAGAGCAGCAGGAGGTGGGGGTCAGAGCAGCAGGAGGTGGGGGTCAGAGCAGCAGGAGGTGGGGGTCAGAGCAGAGGGGGGTTTCACACCTTTCCCTCTCGCGGGTGTGAAAGAGCCCCCGCTGTGCAGCGTATCTGAGCTGTCCCACTCTGAGGCTGGATCTGAACACTTACGTTTTCACCTGGAACACAGTCTTCGTATGAACGGTAGCAACCAACATCCAACTATAGCGTTTTACTGCCACATTGTCTCCGTGTAAACTCAGCCTAAAACTGATGCGAGTAAAATAAATGAACACTGCCTGTGATTTCAAAGCTGATCTGTGGACTTAAGCCTTGTCTGCCGGAGCATGTCAGAAGGCCAAGACAATGTTGCTGAAATGAGGAGTGAACACCTGTGCTTCCCTTTGCCTGCAGCCCACCCCTATAGGCCCCATCCCGAGTGACACGCCGGCCCAGCCCAGCCGGGACAAGGCCCAGCAGCAGAGCAAGAACCCGGTGAGGTCACACACACACAGGACACACACTCGATCTGCTGGTCCCACCTCTGTGAGCACTTTAACAGACAAGTCCACTCTCCAAGCCTCGCAAATATTCACATGTGAGGCTGCATTTGATTCTGAAAGTGTAAAGAATATACTGTGTACATCAGTTTAAAGTGGTTCTTCATGGAGCCGTCTGAATAAAGCACTGTACATACAAGAACACACTTACACCTTTTAATCGTTAGATTGTTTATTCACAAATTATTTAATGTTTTTGTGAAATAATGAAACATGTAGCCTTTGATTATTAGTTTCTGTCTTTACAGCTAATTAATGGTGTCAGATTTTCCTCTCACCTTCACACGAAGCAGCTGTTCTGCTAATTGCATTTTTCATTCAAACATACACTCGTGAACTTTATACAAAGTGTTACTAAAAAGGCATAGATTTAGATGTTTGAGCTATGTTTGTATCGATGCTCAAAGTAACTGCTTTTTTCTGAGCTTTTGATCATTTAATAGCTTCAGAATGTTCATCTTTAAATGAAATAAACAATATATTAATGTGTAAAATATTAAGCTTGAGAAAAAAATAGAATAAACTGAGGTCTGGCCCCCACAGCTGATATTCCAAGCTCAGTTTGCCCATACCTGAGCAATGTCCACAAACAGTCTGTGGTTTAGGATCTACCGGTATTTTTACTGATGAAAAAACAATTGCTCCAAATAAACCCTGGATGTCTTAAAATCTGAATATTATAAAAGGTTTTCCCATTTATGAAATTGGAATGTGTAGGGCTACATTGAACACTCTGTATTGACAATGTGCAAAACGTTAGTTAGACCTAATGGAAAAATGAAACTGCTGATAAAAGAGAGGACCACCCTCAGCTCAGAACCTCAGCTCTTTCTTAGAAGTATGAAAAATATAGGAATACTTCAGATAAGATGGAGTTGGCATGTGGGGGTCTCTTTTACTTTAACAAGCCTCTTTCCGTTGTTTAAGATTAGGTTCCCCACCTTCAACAAACAATAACATATTATATACATGAAATGGAAACATTTTTATTTATTCAAAGTGTGAGAGAATAAAAACATAAAACAAGTTTTTTAGACGTTTTTCGGTTGTGTCACACCTTAACAGCACCGTTTTTAACCTGGACTTTAGTTTCTTGTTGTCGGAGACTCTATTCCCCGTTAAAAAATACACATTAGTTTTTATGGTCCTGTCACACTGGACTCTACCCTGGCTTTATGGCTGTCCATTAAACATGATTGGCCTGGTCACAACATGCCACTTTAGCTCGGCCCGCCTCCTGTGACTGCACAACCACAAGCTCACGTTGAAGTAGATCAGTGGTTTCCAGCCCTGGAGAATGTTTCACGTTCTCCAGGGGTCAAACTCATTCTGCTCTGAGGCTTCTAACCCAATGTTATGTAGGTATTCTTTATTAACGTTGAGTTTTAGATTTTTCTGAACAAAATTAGTTATTTGTATTATTATAGGAGGATTTTACCCTATTTTAGGAAAGAACCGTCCTCTCCACTTTGTGAAAAAACTTGTCTTGTACGACGAGCACGTATCACCAGAATGATTGACAATTAGGGGAACCAATAGTGTTCATGATCCACCCGGAAGTAGATAATCCTCCTATATACCTTTAATGCTTGACAGAGCAAAACTGCATCAAAAGAAAGAAGGGCTTAAGGCTTAGGTAATTAAACAGTATTCGCTTCATCCTGACATTTTTCGGCGATAGACTTTCCGCCTTCGTAAGAGGTGACACATTATGTTGAGATGTCTCTTATCTAGGGTTGCCGAGATGAACCGGTTTTACAATAATTGCGATTATAAAAGCCTGCGGTAGTTTAACCGTAAGGATTATAGATGACGCGGTTTACTGCTGGTACGGAAAAACTCTTGCTCGAGGTGCAGTACCGGCCTCTGCACACACGGGGCAGCGCAGACCCACCGGTAAATTGAGGATGAGTTGTATCCACCAAAAATCCGACTTAAGGCATCAGTGCGGGATCACTTTGGGAATCCAAGAGATGAGCAAGGTGTTGTTGTCGCTGATGGAATTTCAATGTGTAAAACCATCCATCCATCCATTTTCTACCCTTTAATCCATTTCTGGGTCAGGGGGGTGGCAGTCAGAGATGCCACCCAAGTCTCATAGCACCAGCCCCTCACTGACCCTCTGCAGGTGGTGAGTCCACAGGAGGACGGCTGCTCTCTGACTGTGAGCAGAGCCTTGATCTTTCAATGGGGGCTTTTGGGCAAAGTGGGGTTAAGTGTCTTGCCCAAGGACACAACGACAGCAGTCATCAGTGGGAGTCGGTGGAGAAGGTGCAGAGGTGGGAATTGAACCCACGACCTTCTGGCCTTAAGGCCAATGCTCTACCAACTGAGCTACTGTCGCCCCGAATGTGTAAAACCTGTCGTCGGAATGTTGCAGCAAAAGGGGCTAATACTTAAAAAAATGATACATCTTCCAGATTATCATCCTTTGCTGTATGTCCAAGTCATGGTAATAAAACTGCATAATTGTCAAGAAAGTTGTTCAAATGTTCAGAAATAAGCGCCAAACTCTCTCAGGGTTCACATTAATGCCCGCCGTGCTGTGAAGTGAGTCCCAAGTGTGAGTCAAGGTGAAAGCTCCCTAGTCTCTGTTGATGGTCCAAAGCGGCCCACTTTCTATCTATCTACAGTAAATATCTACTGATTTCTCAAATCCATCTGTTTGTACTATTTTTCGCCTTGGGTTTGCACAAGGGTTCCTGTGTTGCTTTTTCCTTAGTAGCACGACATCAATACAATAATCAAACCACACAAAAAGCTCAGACAAATCCTTTTTTACGCCCCAAAAGTGCAAAGTCATCTACAAAATCACATGTAGAACTTGCAACAAAATATACATTGAAGAAGAAGAAAAAAAGGAATTTCAGAGGGAGTGCAAAAAAGAAAAAGCATTGCGTCAAACAAGATCAGCTGACTCAGGAACACAGCAATAACTGACCACTGCAAAAGATAAAGTCACATCATGGACTGGGAGAAGAACCGAAGAACATAAAGAGAAAAGATGGATATGAGAGGTTTGATCCAGAAGTGGGGCACATGGACCATCAACAGAGACGACGGGGCTCTCACCTTGGCTCACACTTTGGACTCACTTCTCCAGAGACCACAGCGCAGAGGGGGCGGGCTCTGTCAGATTCACCAAACTGGCCATATCCGGTCACAGCTGATAAGAGACACATCACAACATCACGTCTGACCTCTGATGAAGGCGCAAGTGTTTTTATTTTGACACTGTTTTTTAAAACCCAGATATGAGCTATTTTAGGACCAGACGCCTTCAGGAAACTCCCGCTAATTGTTGTCAACATTATCATTTTAGGTTTTGGCAGAAAAGAAGTCTCCCCAGACAAGCAGCACCATAAAAAGTAGACCAGGGCATATACATTTATGCTAGAACTTTAACCCCACCTACATCATGTTCAGTCTGGCACTGCTCCGTTGGGGCAGAATTATATCTGAAAAAAATCTTACCGGACCAATGTCAGTGCAGGCTTTATACGGTTATAGGCAGATGAGCAACAGTAACGTAAGCAGCAACACAACCAGATGCTTTCGTCTCTCTGACTTTTTCTAATCCCTGAATGGATCCTGCGTGCGTATACACTGTAGAAATGTACAAAAGCTTCCAAGCTGAGTAAAACAACACTATCTACTGAACAGTGCAATTCAACCCATAATTAGTTAAAAATGCGTTTTCCTTGAGTCGGACTTTCTGATAAAGTGCTCGTGCGGTGCAGGTAGGACACGCCCTGTTCCTTTAATTGTCCAATACAATTTAAAGTGGACCATTCTGTTTCCTTTCTCCCGCATGACCTCAACCTGTGCTCTCTCAAACACAACTCTTGCTCCCTCTGATTATAACATAGTGTGTCTTAACAAGCCTGCTTCTGCTTGGGAAATGTCTGGTGTAATTTTTTGTTGTTTTTTGTTTGTTTAATGCCTCACTCCTCCTGACCTCCTTTTCCTCACTCTCTTCACTTCTTTTATTCCTTTTCTTTTTTTATCCCTCATTTGTTTTGTTTTTTTGCACTTTTGCGTGAAGTCGCCCGAAGCCAAAGGAAGCGAGTCTCAGCCCACGCCCGTGACCCATAAGGAGACACTGGGCTCGCACCTCGCGGCTGAGCGCTTGGGTGGCTCTGTGCAGGTATTGTTGCTAATGCTGAATGCTACACTGCTCCCATGCTAACGTCCCATGTGCTAGTGCATGCCGCTTCTTTGGAACTCTTCTCCGTCCCGCACACAACCACTGCCCGCCGCATCCCAATGACCAACTGCTTTTACTTTTGCTCGGATTAAAAGCTTCCGTTTGCCTGGCTGCTAAATGATATAGCGTCATTCAAAACTAAACGTTAGAGTTGAGTTGCAAGATTTATCACAAGCAAAGCTCAATTTTTGCTGGTCGCCTTTGGCAAACTGCAAAAGCTGCATCTATGCAATTCCTTTATGCCTAAAACATGCATCAAAAAATAAGTTACATTTTGCCTGAATCAGGAAAAGTCACTATATACTAAAGAATACATAGTGACTTTGACTGAAGAGTACAAATGCTAATACAACATGTACAAGTACTTGCTGGACTGTAAGAAGGTTTCAATTTACTTTTGAACAATGTGGCTTATATAGCGATGCAGCTATTGTGTGTATTTTTATTTAGTTAAAGCGCCCCCTAGAGGTTTAGGAAGGAATTTCTGTTGATCTTCAGAGCTGATGAAACAGCAGCAGTCCTTGCTTCAGTGTGTTTATGTGAACAGCAGAGATACTCTCTCAGTACAGAGTTTATGGACTTATTTTGACTCCATCAACTTTTATTAGGAATGTTATTGTCAAAATAGAGTGGATTTGTGCTTTGATCATCAACAGAGCGTTAAAAGTCATCAGTGTCCAGTTAAAACTGTCAATCCACTTTATTGTTTTATTTGTATAGCTGTACATCATCTGTTGATGAATAAAGGCAATAGTTTTAAAACTTTAAGTGTGGCCTTTAGGTGGAGAATATGTACTGCTTTTACAAATGTGCAGTTTATTTACAGCTCCAGCAAGTACTGCGTCTCAAAGTTATACCGAACTTTCCCCCTGTGAATAGTACATGTTTGTCCAGACAGACAAAGTCTGGAAACGGTAAAATATTGGGAAGAAAGACTGTTTTCATCTTATTTGAAAACATCCCTTGCATAGAGCCCTGTGAGTCATTATTTGACTCTTTGGATTATGGCCAAATATACATGCATGCTAAGAACGAGCGACATGGATTTAATTTGGGTTATTTTCATATTTTAAGTTTATCGAGCATGTGTCCATTTTACCAAAATGGTTTAGTCCTTCTGTATTTATCAACTTACAAAGGCTTCAAATCTAAAACAAAGCCTTTTTTATTTCACATATTACTGAACCCTGAGACCAAAAAAAGTAAAATAATTGAATCCATGTTTGAGAGAAAACAGTGACTCACAGGGATCTTTACAAATATGTAAAGTATAACATGTTTTCTCATTAAATATAAGACAGCATGTTGTATTCTCATTTGTTCACAACATTTTACATTTCCAAGATTCTTTCTAACGGGACAAACAGTTAGGTCAGGAACCCAGTGAGGAAGGCTGATTCTTAGTTCTTACATGACTATTGCACAAACCTTTAACTTAGTATTGTTCTAATATAAAATCCCAGCGTTACAGACTTCCACTGAATCATTAGCGCCAACTTATGGCTCACATCCGCCCCCCTGTGGTGGACTAGGGGACTGCTGCAGTGTGGAGACAGTGCTGTACAAACATAATGAACCTAGAATTCAAATGTCCTGCGACTAAATTAGTTCCATGTATTTGGAAAAAAAAACCTTTTCAATCAGTAACACATTAGTATAGTAAATATATTATGTGTTCAAAACTATTATTTATCTATTTTTTACAACTAGTGTGATTCCTGCACATTAAATATTAGAAAGTCTGTCAGAGTTGAGTTGTGATGAAAAGTTTGACAAATGTTGAAAACCAGAAAGTTCAGAGAAATCCTTTAGGCACTTTTATTTATGATTACATAATTACATCCGATTGTTTGAGGGTTACAGTTTGTTCCCAAGTTGAGTCGACTAGTTTTAAATATCTGGATTTCCATATTGCTAATTGGACTGTAATTTGTCATTTTTAAAACAAAAACGTTTTCAAAATGTATATCAAAGTTTAAAATCAATCCTCAGAAACTGTCAGACAGAGCGCAGTGGGTATGGAGGGTATGGAGGGTATGGAGGGTATGGAGGGTATGGAGGGTATGGAGGGTATGGTGGGTATGGTGGGTATGGAAGGTATGGAGGGTATGGAGGGTATGGAGGGTATGGTGGGTATGGTGGGTATGGTGGGTATGGAAGGTATGGTGGGTATGGTGGGTATGGAAGGTATGGAGGGTATGGAGGGTATGGAGGGTATGGTGGGTATGGAGGGTATGGAGGGTATGGAGGGTATGGAGGGTATGGAGGGTATGGAGGGTATGGAGGGTATGGAGGGTATGGAGGGTATGGTGGGTATGGAGGGTATGGAGGGTATGGTGGGTATGGTGGGTATGGAGGGTATGGTGGGTATGGAGGGTATGGTGGGTATGGAGGGTATGGAGGGTATGGTGGGTATGGAGGGTATGGAGGGTATGGTGGGTATGGAGGGTATGGAGGGTATGGAGGGTATGGTGGGTATGGAGGGTATGGTGGGTATGGTGGGTATGGAGGGTATGGTGGGTATGGAGGGTATGGTGGGTATGGTGGGTATGGAGGGTATGGTGGGTATGGAGGGTATGGTGGGTATGGTGGGTATGGTGGGTATGGAGGGTATGGAGGGTATGGTGGGTATGGAGGGTATGGTGGGTATGGAGGGTATGGTGGGTATGGTGGGTATGGTGGGTATGGAGGGTATGGTGGGTATGGTGGGTATGGTGGGTATGGAGGGTATGCTGGGTATGGTGGGTGTTCATGGTTCTGTGTGTGTAATGGCTGTGGTGCTTTTGCGGTGCAGGTGATGAGCTCCACAAACGGGGAGCTGAACACGGATGACCCCACAGCGGGACACTCCAACGCCCCCATCACGGCGCCCACCGAGGTGGAGGTGGCCGACGAAACCAAGTACGCCTGCCCTCTGCCACCCCCCTCTGCCACCCCCCTCTGCCACGCCCCTCTGCCACCCCCCCTCTGCCACGCCCCTCTGCCACCCCCCTCTGCCACGCCCCTCTGCCACCCCCCTCTGCCACCCCCCTCTGCCACCCCCCCTCTGCCACCCCCCTCTGCCACGCCCCTCTGCCACCCCCCTCTGCCACCCCCCTCTGCCACCCCCCTCTGGGCGGCACGGTGGCTGAGTGGATAGCACTCTCGCCTCTCAGCAAGAAGGTCCTGGGTTCGAATCCCGGTCGGACCAGGGCCTTTCTGAGTGGAGTTTGCATGTTCTTCCCGTGTCTGCGTAGGTTTCCTCCGGGTACTCCGGTTTCCCCTACCACTAAAAATATGTACAATAGTTCTGGCATGCGCCTTGTGTACTGGCCCCTCCCATCTCTCTGTGGACAAATACCCAAAAATAACAATTGTAAACCGCTTTGAGACTCAGATTTGCAGTGAAAAGGCGGTATATAAATAAAGATTACTACTACTACTACTACTACTACTCTGCCACCCCCCTCTGCCACCCCCCTCTGCCACCCCCCTCTGCCACGCCCCTCTGCCACCCCCCTCTGCCACCCCCCCTCTGCCACCCCCCTCTGCCACGCCCCACTGCCACCCCCCTCTGCCACCCCCCTCTGCCACCCCCCTCTGCCACGCCCCACTGCCACCCCCCTCTGCCACCCCCCTCTGCCACACCCCTCTGCCACGCCCCTCTGCCACCCCCCTCTGCCACACCCCTCTGTCACACCCCTCTGCCACGCCCCTCTGCCACCCCCCTCTGCCACCCCCCCTCTGCCACCCCCCTCTGCCACGCCCCACTGCCACCCCCCCTCTGCCACCCCCCCTCTGCCACCCCCCTCTGCCACACCCCTCTGCCACGCCCCTCTGCCACGCCCCTCTGCCACCCCCCTCTGCCACCCCCCTCTGCCACGCCCCTCTGCCACGCCCCTCTGCCACCCCCCTCTGCCACACCCCACTGCCACACCCATCTGCCACGCCCCTCTGCCACGCCCCACTGCCACCCCCTCTGCCACGCCCCTCTGCCACGCCCCTCTGCCACCCCCCTCTGCCACGCCCCTCTGCCACCCCCCTCTGCCACCCCCCTCTGCCACACCCCACTGCCACACCCATCTGCCACGCCCCTCTGCCACGCCCCACTGCCACCCCCCTCTGCCACCCCCCTCTGCCACCCCCCTCTGCCACGCCCCTCTGCCACGCCCCTCTGCCACGCCCCTCTGCCACCCCCCTCTGCCACACCCCACTGCCACGCCCCTCTGCCACGCCCCTCTGCCACGCCCCTCTGCCACGCCCCTCTGCCACCCCCCACTGCCACGCCCCTCTGTCACACCCCTCTGTCACACCCGTCTGCCACACCCGTCTGCCACACCCCTCTGTCACACCCCTCTGCCACACCCCTCTGTCACACCCCTCTGCCACACCCCTCTGTCACACCCCTCTGCCACCCCCCTCTGCCACGCCCCTCTGCCACGCCCCTCTGTCACACCCCTCTGCCACACCCCTCTGCCACACCCCTCTGCCACACCCCTCTGCCACACCCCTCTGCCACCCCCCACTGCCACGCCCCTCTGCCACGCCCCTCTGCCACGCCCCTCTGCCACACCCCTCTGCCACACCCCTTTGTCACACCCCTCTGCCACACCCCTTTGTCACACCCCTCTGCCACACCCCTCTGCCACACCCCTTTGTCACGCCCATCTGCCACGCCCCTCTGCCACGCCCCTCTGCCACCCCCCACTGCCACCGCCCATCTGCCACGCCCCTCTGCCACGCCCCTCTGCCACCCCCCACTGCCACGCCCCTCTGCCACACCCCTCTGCCACACCCCTCTGCCACGCCCATCTGCCACGCCCCTCTGCCACCCCCCTCTGCCACCCCCCACTGCCACGCCCCTCTGCCACACCCCTTTGCCACACCCCTCTGCCACACCCCTTTGTCACACCCCTCTGCCACACACCCCTCTGCCACACCCCTCTGCCACCCCCCTCTGCCACACCCCTCTGCCACACCCCTTTGTCACACCCCTCTGCCACCCCCCTCTGCCACACCCCTCTGCCACACCCCTCTGCCACCCCCCTCTGCCACCCCCCTCTGCCACCCCCCACTGCCCCGTGTTTGGACCGAGGGAGATCCCATTATTACAGGAGCACTAGCCTGGTCTTATCCATCCGTACACTCTGCTCAATCATCATTTCACTGCATGTAACGTCTGGGTCTGGTCCCTGTGTTAGCGAATACAATCGGTCATATTTCGACCGGCTACTCAGAGAGCGCGGGAGGCGGGTCAAGAGTTTGCGCCGAACGGGCAGGTTGTAGTTTGGCGAAGAATGCGATAGTAAAGTAATCCGGTCTGGTTCTATCAAGAAATTGAAGCAGGAGCAACAGGAATGTTTAGCAAATGTAATCGCTGGTCAAGATTGTGGCGCTACTCCCCACGGGCTCCGTTAGCGGCAAAGGAGATGGCTAAAGCTAGGCTAAATGCTAAATGCTAACAACACACTCGGGCGCATTACATACGTCACAGTAAACTCAGATCCAATTGTTTCAATCTGCAAAAGGAGTTAGGCCCTCCCACCTGTTCACGGAGTCAATGGAGCAGATCCAGACCTTAGTTTGGAGCTCCTGCGTAATGTTGACAAATCCTGCGTAACCGCTCAATGTGCTTTAAGTTTAAGGAACGCGTGACGCAACAAATGACACACAGTTGTAATGTGTTTGAAGAGACTAACTTTAACATCTTGGTCACCACCCCCTTCATAAGACACAGCCAGTAGGAGTAAAGATGTCCCTTTGGCTCAGACCAAAGGAAATGAAAGAGTGTGTGGGTCATGTCTAATCCCTGTGTGTTTGGCAGGTGCTGTTGTTTCTTCAAGAGGAGAAAGAGGAAAGCCCTCCAGCGGCACAAATGAAGCTCTTGAACTTAAAATGTTGTGGTCACTGTGGCGTTTTCAGTGGAAGAAACTTACACCACCCACCCCCCCAGCACCACGACCCCCCACCTACCTGTGCACTCTCGTCCAGTTAAAGGAATGTCCAACTGGCTCCACCGCAAACAGACTCCTCTGAGAAGACTTTTCAGGCGTGGAGATGGAGAAAAACATTCAGACTGCTGTAAAACTATGTGGTGTGAACATTACACAGTTGTATTTAGATTGTTTTGTTCAGGATGAGACGTAAACACGCCGGGTACCGCTGCCGGGTACCGCTGCCGGGTACCGCTGCCGGGTACCGCTGCCGGGTACCGCTGCCGGGTACCGCTGCTGGGTACCGCTGCCGGGTACCGCTGCCGGGTACCGCTGCCGGGTACCGCTGCCGGGTACCGCTGCCGGGTACCGCTGCCGGGTACCGCTGCCGGGTACCGCTGCCGGGTACCGCTGCCGCTGTCGCCGTCTGGTTGAAAACAGGGACATGCTTTGGTCTTTTTTACGTGGCATAAATAGTTTGAAATGGCAGTGGCTCTGCTGCTCCACTAAACACAACCATTTTATCTGTGATCATTTCAGTTCAGACATTTTCTACCATAAACACCATACCATAAAAGCCATACCATATACACCATACCATATACACCATACCATATACACCATACCATAAACACCATACCATAAACACCATACCATATACACCATACCATAAACACCATACCATATACACCATACCATAAACACCATACCATATACACCATACCATAAACACCATACCATAAACACCATACCATATACACCATACCATTAACACCATACCATATACACCATACCATAAACACCATACCATAAACACCATACCATATACACCATACCATAAACACCATACCATATATGGTTTTTTAGGTATAAATATTAATTAATTAGACCGTTCATGAACATTATCTTAAACTTTCGACTGTGTTGCAACATTGATCCAAAACAGTTTATTGAAAGAACTAAATGGACTTCTTTTGGATGTTGAGAAATGTTTACAGAACATTTTTAAAACTCAACACATTTGAACTAAAATGAATGTAATCAGAAGTGCATACAAAGGGGCGGGTATAGGTGGTAGGTGAAACAGACATTTTGAAAGCAGGACATTAAAGGGGTTCTCAGACACAGAGAGAAGAGCCCGCCTCCTTTAGGAAAGAGGCGGGCTCTTTCCTTATTGGATGAAAGGATGTGACCTTCTTGACTGAGTAAATAGGACTCCTACTACTCTACAAACAGGCCAGTAGGGGGCGTAACGTGCAAAAGGATTTGGACCATTTATAAATGTTTTTAGAGCATGTTTTACACCAAACTGTTAGTTTTCTTATTCGCACTGATGCAGTCAATTCTGCTGCTAACGATCGTTTCTTCACACCGGCCTCATTCCACATTCAAACATGAAATGACAGGAAATATTCCTCAGATCATGTTTAAATTACAAAATTAACTAAAATAAAACCCATTTTAAGTATATTTATACACACAGGCTTCTTTTCTGATTCTACTCAGAAAAGAATAGGCCACAAATACATTTAAATATGTTCTAAAATGTTCTCAGTTTCTATATCATCTTATTTTCTTAATAAATCAGTTTTTCTTTTGTCTTCAGTGAAATTAACATTTAGTCAATGTAAAGTTTTTATTTCTTTTTTTATGTTTTGGCAAAATCATGCAATCGCTCAGGTAATCTAGGTTTGAAGACGATGCCAGACTAAATACAAACATTTAGACTGATTTAAAGAATTTCTTTTCTGTCAAATATTATCAAAAAAGTTCTGAAATTCCCTAAATTCTTGTTTTAGTTAAAGGTGTTAAAGCATTGAAGCGCCCTGACTTGTTTGGACTCATTTTAAAGGCACATTTTTAGTTTTGCTTCTTACATTTTCGTGCCAAAGTTGTGCAAACCATTAAACTCACCTGGTATGAAGACCATAACTGGCTTTAACTCTCAGAGGCTAATACTGCGCAGAATGTGCTTCTTTGATAATTCTTCAACCAGAGGACGGAGCGGTGTTATTTAAGCATTATTATTATTATTATTATTAAGCAGTAGTGAGATCCTAAAAGACAACATTAAGCAACACCGCAAATCAGGCAGTAAAGTGGCACCCGGCTGTTTTTATCATTCTGTGGATTCTCTTCCTTCGTTGGGATCAAAAGTGGATCGGTGAAAAAACGTGATGAAATTTAAGTTAATAAATGCTTAAGGTCTTTTAATTTGAGTTTACAAGACTGAATCTGCATTTTCCACTGACAAATCTGTTCCTGTTCCTGACACTTCTGGAGGTTTGTGTTGAGCTCATTTAACTTGTGTCGCTCAGAGAATGGATCGTGAAAAGGTTGTGTTCGTGTTTGTGAAGGTTCCAGTCCATGTGTCGCAGAGAAGTGTTTTTCTAGATGAACTTTTCGACACCTTCATGATCAAATAATCGGACTCTTGTTGATTTGCACGGTCAAAGAAGATGTGGAACTTTGAGGCCGTTTTTTAGTTTCATCTGGATTGGCCACGGAATTAGAGGAATCGGCTCTGAATGTTGACCGTTACTGTAGTTCCCGAGAGCGATGCCCTGCGCCACCGTGTGAAACTGTTGGCATGTTGTGATGTCACATGAACACAACCTGTTTCAGCCCCGTTTATGACACTAACATTACTTTAGACAGTAGCTTAACTCATTGACTGCCGGCCGTTTTTGACGATTTAGCTCATTTTAAAGACCCACAGAATACCATGTGTTATGACCATGGGGAAAATGGAACCAGATTCTGAAAGACTGAACTGTCGTCTTTCAGCAGCAAAAGTTAGTTTGTTTCTAGCTAGTTTTGTTCTCCTGTGATCGCCCGTTGGATAGAGGGAAGTTTGACAGAAATCACGGGTCTCAGACAAACTCGTCAATGGCAGTTAATGAGTTAATGGACAGGGACAATTTTTTAAAACTTTTCTAATGTTTTTTTGGTTTTGAGAGAGAACATTTGTCCAGTGAAACGACGTCCTTTACAACTGCGTGCCTCCAATTAGACCACGCCATGTTGGATTCAATGTAAATACAGCAGAACCACTTTCTTGTATCCAGGTAAATTTCCTCAAGCGTTTTTTAACTTCGCTTTTTGTAGCGTTCTTAATGTGAAGGATCTGTTCAAATTTGACAGATTGTTCATGTTTTTTTGTTTATTTTTGTAAATTCAACTCTTGGTTTCGGAAAAAAAACAACCCCTTCACTCAAAGCGTATTTTTATGACATGTTTTTTGGCTTCTCCCTTCGTTTTGGAGCACGGTGTCTGCCTCAGGTGCTGTGGACGATAAACCGCTGATTAAGCTCTTTACTATTATTATTATTATATTATTATTATTATTATTGCACTTTTTGAGGAAAATTACACCAGAAATTAACAATTGTGGGATGGCATAATAAAGACGGGATGTTTTAGGAATGACGGACAAACCCGAGATCATTTCTTACTTTTTTTTTTCTTCCATCAAAATAATTTACCAGGAAATCATAGTTTGTGCCTTTCTCAGTAAAATGTTTAAAGCTCTTTTGTTGTTGTGTTTTTTGTCAAACGGGGACAGTGCAGGCTGTAACTTTGGAGAAGTGGACAACGAGGAAATCCACAATTATTGAATGGAGTTGTATAAGATTATTTTTTTGCTAAAACGTGAAAGAAGTGAATTCTTTGAAAATCAGAGTTCAAAGAAAATGAGCACAAATCCTGATATCATGAACTAACATGTTTTCATATAACTCGTGTTGTTGGTCTAAAGAAACTCTTCAGTCGGTGGTGGTGGTGGGAGGGGCCGATGGCACAGACTGGTGGCCTCTGTCAGTGTGCCCCAGGGCAGCTGTGGCTACAGTAGTTTATCACCACCGTGTTTGGAGAGAGAGAAGAATGATGTGAAGTGTTTGTGAAACCAAAGCATTATTATCATTATTTTATTTCCTTCTGAGGTTGAGTGGCCGCTGTCTGTGAGAAATGTGCCTCATTAAGCACTGGTAAAACTTTGGAATGAAACTGAATGAAGTCAGACTCTGTGAAACACCAGAGCTTCCATTATCTCTCATTTCATGGTCTCAAGTTTCTTTTGCGAATAAAGCATTTTGTGACCATAAAGGAGTATTTCATGGCCACAACTTAACTTTGTGTCCAGGAAGTAGAGTTTTGTTGCCACACATTTGCACTTCATGACCACATTTTAGTCTTTCACAGCCACAGATTACTATCTCGTGACCACAAAGTATTAAATCATGATTTTGAATTTCAAACCCATGAATACATAAAAGTATGTTGTGACCACAAATTAGTATTTTGTAGCCATAAAGTAACTTTATTTTTGAAACAAAGAGGTGTGCAGCCGCCTTATCGGAGCTGGTGGAGCCTGAAAAGGTCACTTCCTCGGGAGAAAAGCAGCTCCCAAAGGAAAGCAGCCGAATCCAAATATAGACCCTCCCCCCAAGAAAAGGTTTGCATCCCCACATTGGAGCCTCAGGAAGACACACAAAAAAATCTGACACACAAAGTTGAAACAATGATTTGCAAGTACTTGAGTATTTTCAATGATCACAAACCATTTGAATAATCAATGAATCATAAAAGTGAGGATAGGCTCAAAGATGGCTTTGATTCCATAAACTTGAGTTCACTTTTTGACACAATCAAGTAAGTAAGTAAGTAAGTAAGCTTTATTTATCTTTATTTAGCTTTAATCACAGATCTTCATCAACTTACAGACTGTATCACATCAACCCTCTCTGCAGGGCCCAAAACGGTCTGCACAGTCTGCACGGTCTGCACGGTCTGCACATATGGAAACAAGTCATGGAAGAAGAACAAGGTCCTTTATCTGTCCCACAGTGGGGAGATTTCAGTTTGATACATACACACATATACACAAACACATACACACACACACACACATCAAGGCAAGCAGCAAACATTACTGCGCTCCTTATAGGCAAAGTGGGTTAAGTGTCTTGCCCAAGGACACAACGACAGCAGACATCAGTGGAGCCGGTGGAGAAGGTATCGCAGTGGGCTCGAACCCATGACTTTTGGGCTCAGAGGCCAATGCTCTACCCTTAGGAACCACCAGACGTCTGTTCTGTTTGGTTAGTATGACACTAACGTGTCTTGGAGGTGAGAGGGAGCCAGGCCATTTATGGCTTTGTTTGTTAAAATAAGGATTTTAAATGTTATTCTGTACTCCACAGGAGCCAGATGAGTGATTTTAACACCGGAGTCATGTGCTCCCTCCTTGTGGTGTGTTTCGGTCCAAACACTCTTTAAGTGACTGCTGTTGGAAGAATGCACACAAAACATAACTTACTTCTGCTTTAGTGGTGGTTAGCCATGCTTCTAACCCTAAGGATTAGGTTAGCTTTGTCAGTAAAATATACTTTCTGCAGTAAATTGTACTTCTACATCAGAATGACAAAATACTTCTTTTCTCCAGAATAGATTAGGATTTAAATGAATTTGAAAAGAATACTCATGCATATCTATTGTTGACACATTCAACACTTCTCACTTCCTAATGATACAGTTTATACATTAATATAAATGGCCCACAGAGGGCCCTGGACACAGACTGGCCCTTGACACAGAGGGCCCTGAACACAGACTGGCCCTTGACACAGAGGGCCCTGGACACAGACTGGCCCCTGTGTTTTCGCGCCCCCTGGCGGCTCATTGAGGCAGCGGAGGAGGCTCTCACACACTCCCCGGACAGTCCCGGGCACACACGGCTTCAAACCGACTCAAACGTCCCTTTCCTCCGGTTCCTCCAGTTTGCACAGTTTACTCTGCTTCCTTGGAGTTTCCTCCGTGTTCGAAGAGCCGCTGCTGAAGGAGAAGAACCCGCTCCAGTCGCTTTGGATCTGGCCAACGTCAGCGCAGCGCACCGCTCTGCAGGTAAACCTGATTACAAACTCAAACATGATGCTTTAATGCGTGTGCTCCCGTCTGTATTCTCATTCAGACTTTGTTGAACCGTGTTCGACGCTTTTTGACTTTGTTGGCTTCGTAAATGACCCGTTATGTCCCGTTATGTCCCGTTGTGTCGCGCACGGAGACGCCTGGTTCGCACTGGCGCAGGTGCTTTGTCCCAAGAACACTCCGCGGACTGTTGCATGATTCAGTTCGAAGTGTTTTAAACAAACAAAGCAGACAACACTAATACACAGGTTCTTCAGACTTTTTACGCACGTAATTTGGTTATTTTGGAGAATCTGCGCGCGCCACTGTTGTGGTTACACCGTTTTTATGCTTTTATGACACATTCCTGTCTCTTACCTGCACTTACTTACTTACTATGTAAAGTCATGTCACAAACATTCACATCTGTTATATTTACCACAGTGCATCTAAAATACATAGAGATTTTTTAAAAAGCTACACATCCAATGTTGCCCTAAAAAAAAGAGAATATGTTTTATATACTTGCTCAAATGTTTGTGTGTGTACTGTATATACATATATACACACACACACACATATATATATATATATATATATATATGTGTGTGTGTATATGTATAGTGGCTGTGACGCTTTTATTTATAGTTTGTATTAAGTAAGCTATTGGCTCTAATCATATAAATGATCCTAAAATGGTGAATACCAGCGATGACTGAAACAGTAACAGATCCTGATCATTCCAAAAAGGGAAAAACAAGGTTTTTGTAAAACAAACAAAAAGCAGGTCGTTCTTTCCTTTCTCTCTGAGGCACAGGTGGACACTGGTGTTTACATGTGGCTGTAAATGTCTCTATTGTGACATCAAAAAAGTTGAAAGTTGACTTATCTTATTTAAGACACAATAAAGTGTCCTAAAGGTTGTTGCTTGTGCATCAGGTGAATAATATAAAACACAGAAGAGACAATACTTTACATATTCATTCACAATGACAACAAATCAGAGCCTTTTGTTAATAAAGTTGTTTTTAAAACCTCCATGTGGATGAGAAACTTGCGTTGTCCTTTTTAATGCGATAATTCTAAAAGTTTGATTTGACCCTTTTATTTTCACACATTACTGTTTTCCACATGGTGAAAAGTCGACACAGGTCCAAACAATTCAAGGAGCTTTCTCAACATGAATATGGGGCCGTATAAAGTTCCTCCTGTAGAGGATCAGTGCGGGGCTGGGCTCTGTGAACTGGGTGTGGAATTAAGATAGTCGTTACACCGAACATTGTCACATGGACAAGTTTAGTCGACTTTTGGTGTTTGTAGGTCTTGTTTACACGGAAACTCAGCCAAGCAATTCACAAAAACAACTCTGGATTTGAAGTGCAACGCATAAACACAGCGAGTGAGAGTGATGTAGTTCCAGAACCCGGTCAGTAGTGGGCTGTGGAACTTTACCACGCAGCAGTAAAACCACTTCCTCAACAACACATTCGTATCGATCATGGATCTATAATAATAACTGGATAGAATATTACTGCTTTTAGCTGTCCCACCCACGGCCACAGGGGGCGCATTCATGGACTCACATAGAACTCAATGTAAACTAAAACAGCTCAACCTCACCTGACGGAGAACCTGACAGAGAACCTGACAAAGAACCTACAGCTTTCATAAAGATCGTATTTTATGGGGATGTTAGTGTCTCTTGTTGTCCTGAACTTATTTTGTTCTTAAATCCTTCTGTTTTCTTTAAATCCACACTTTACTGCCACAAACTCTGCTCCTTTCCTTCCCGCTCTGACTCCGCTCTGATCAGCTCTGATTGGTCGGAGGCCGAGCCCCTCTGTGCACGTGCATGAGACCCACACACGCGTATTTGGCGCAAAGCATCATGGGAGCTCGTCCACTGCACAGGACCGGGAGGACCAGACGATGCCCAAATATGGGCGAGTTCCTCTAATCTCCCTGTCTCCGTGAAGTCCCATGAACTACTGCACAAGCCGTTCATTTGAACAGGACGCCATCTTGGATCACCGGGGCTTGTATTTGATCCACTCTGGGGCTGTTTTTCAGAGCTTGCGTTTCACTCCGATGCCATGGAGTTGTTCGTCAACTCCATGGTCTTTCTGTCACAGTGTCTTTATATAAAGAGTTCCTCAGATTGGGTCCTGTATTTTAAAAAATCCATTCTCAGTCTTTTTGCACATCACCTTCAGATGCTGCTGTTGGTCTGAGTGGTAATGTCTACTGGATTTAGGGTTTCCAACCGTCCCTTAAAATACGTTCCGTGATTTAGAAAAACTATGTGCGTCCTGCATTGACTCGATGAGGGACAGTATCGAAGGGGCGTCGGCTTGATCACATCCATGGGTTTAATGTTGGCGAGCGCCAGCGTGGCCCGCAGCATCATCACGGCAGAAGTTTGGTAAAGTTAGCGTCACATTTCCAGATTCAGACTTCTGCGGACAATAGCTCACAAAAGCTACATCGTTAAACCAAAGTAATTGTTCCAAAACAATCTCCTCTACATCTATTTTTCAGATCCAAAGCAGTGTTTTAACGCAGAGCAATCCATTGAATCCAATGCTCAGTAAGCGTCAATAATGACCATATCTAACTACAACCTTGTTTTCCAGCATTTGTCTCTTTTTTATATTTTTTATGATAAAATATGAATATTAATCTTCAATAGCTTTTCTTGTAAAAACGGCCTCCAAATTCTCAGATATGATCACTTTTTATATTTGTTATGAATAATAAGCATGTATTAAGTCCTTAACCAGCTAAAGAGTTGCACCTGTTTATTTTTTTAATTTCATTTTTGACTAGGGATTTGTTTTATTTATATGTAGTCAATAAATTACTTTCTAAAAACGGTGAATATGAAATTCCATGATTCCTGTGTTGATTGACAACTAAAAAGTGCTCCTCTCGATCCACCCAAATGGTGTAACCCTCACTGTAAACTACTATTACTGAACAAACCTGTATATACTGCTGCAGCTTCAGAAGAGTAACGAGCGACTACAGAACCAGAAGCACGCTCAGAGTAAACAGCCATTACGTTATTACTCTGCAAAACCCACAGACAGTGACACAGACGTTACACCGGCGCTGACTGAAGGCGTGTTCGGGATAAAGATCTCTACATGACAAACATCTGGTTTGTCCCTTAAACACAATAATGGATAAACATGCTTAATGGAGAATAAATATATTTACAAAGTAGTGATGCCCTTTTATCCATTGGTAAAATGGGACTTACTTATCCATATATTTTTCTGCAATTGATTACGCTCCGACAGCACTCCTGCCTTTAGTGAACTTCTCAAAAGGCACAAGCGTCATTTCACTGGAGAACTTTCCAGAACTAATTTGATTGTTTTGTGAGCGTTGGTTGTGTGTGTGTGTGTGTACTTTGTGTGTGTGTGTGTGAGACAGAAGCATGTGACTGTTGTGAATGAGAGGAATGCCTCCGTGAGCTGCACATGTGAGGACTGTTGTGTGGAGCTGTGGGCGTCAGAGGCGGGTCCCAGAGAGGGTGCCAGAGAGTCTCCCAGAGAGGGTCCCAGAGAGTCTCCCAGAGAGTCTCCCAGAGAGGGTCCCAGAGAGGGTCCCAGAGAGTCTCCCAGAGAGTCTCCCAGAGAGGGTCCCAGAGAGGGTCCCAGAGAGGGTCCCAGAGAGTCTCCCAGAGAGGGTCCCAGAGAGGGTCCCAGAGAGGGTCCCAGAGAGTCTCCCAGAGAGTCTCCCAGAGAGGGTCCCAGAGAGGGTCCCAGAGAGGGTCCCAGAGAGTCTCCCAGAGAGGGTCCCAGAGAGGGTCCCAGAGAGGGTCCCAGAGAGGGTCCCAGAGAGGGTCCCAGAGAGGGTCCCAGAGAGTCTCCCAGAGAGGGTCCCAGAGAGGGTCCCAGAGAGGGTCCCAGAGAGGGTCCCAGAGAGTCTCCCAGAGAGGGTCCCAGAGAGGGTCCCAGAGAGGGTCCCAGAGAGGGTCCCAGAGAGGGTCCCAGAGAGGGTCCCAGAGAGGGTCCCAGAGAGGGTCCCAGAGAGGGTCCCAGAGAGTCTCCCAGAGAGGGTCCCAGAGAGGGTCCCAGAGAGGGTCCCAGAGAGGGTCCCAGAGAGGGTCCCAGAGAGGGTCCCAGAGAGGGTCCCAGAGAGGGTCCCAGAGAGGGTCCCAGCTCCAGACCTGCCTTGGGCTTCAGAGCTGACACGGTGCTAAAATAGAATCAAAACAGAATCAAAATAGAATCAGAATTACGAGCAGGTTTAAGAAAAGATATTCCTTTATTCGTCGCACAGTGGAGACATTTCAGCAGAGAAAGAAGGAAATAAGATCACATCAAACACAGTCTAATATTTAAGATCATAGACAGAACAATTAAAATAATAAGATAAAGTACAATAGTATAAACTCTGGGGTTATAATGTCTCTTGGTTCAGAAGTATTTACAGATGTGTATGTTGTACTTTAGCAGCGGAGAATACTGTATGAGCAGAATAAACAGCAGTAACAATATCAGCAGGTATTGGACAAGTGACAGATTATCAGACGGATATTTTATATTTTATTTTACATTATTATTATTATTATTATTATCATTATCATTATCATCATTTTTTATTATTATTATTATTATTATTATTATTATTATTATTGGGAAGATTCAGTTCAAGCCAAAATTAGGCACAATTTATATTTGGGGTTGTTTTATGTCCAGGGGTAAAGCTCATGCAAACACACGAAACAGGCAGAAAGTCTGAGAGGAGTGAGAGAGGAGTGAGAGAGGAGGGAGGGAGAGAGGAGAGAGAGAGAGAGGAGAGAGGAGTGAGAGAGGAGTGAGAGAGAGAGGAGTGAGAGAGGAGTGAGAGAGGAGTGAGAGAGGAGGGAGAGAGAGAGAGAGAGAGAGAGAGAGGAGAGAGGAGTGAGAGAGGAGTGAGAGAGAGAGGAGTGAGAGAGGAGTGAGAGAGGAGTGAGAGAGGAGTGAGAGAGGAGTGAGAGGGGAGGGAGGAGAGAGGGGAGAGGAGGGAGGGAGGGAGGAGAGAGAGAGGAGTGAGAGAGGAGGGAGAGAGGAGTGAGAGAGGAGTGAGAGAGGAGTGAGAGAGGAGGGAGGGAGAGAGGAGAGAGAGGAGAGAGGAGTGAGAGAGGAGTGAGAGAGGAGTGAGAGAGGAGTGAGAGAGAGAGGAGTGAGAGAGGAGTGAGAGAGGAGTGAGAGGGGAGGGAGGAGAGAGGGGAGAGGAGGGAGGGAGGGAGGAGAGAGAGAGGAGTGAGAGAGGAGGGAGAGGGGAGGGAGAGAGGAGGGAGAGAGGAGAGAGAGAGGAGGGAGGGAGAGAGGAGGGAGAGAGGAGAGAGGAGAGAAGAGAGGGGAGGAGAGGAGTGAGAGAGGAGTGAGAGAGGAGTGAGAGAGGAGTGAGAGAGGAGGGAGAGAGGAGGGAGAGAGGAGGGAGGGAGAGAGGAGAGAGAGAGAGGAGAGAGGAGTGAAAAGGAGGGAGAGAGGAGTGAGAGAGGAGGGGAGAGAGGAGGGAGAGAGGAGTGAGAGAGGAGTGAGAGAGGAGTGAGAGAAAGAGGAGTGAGAGAGGAGTGAGAGAGGAGTGAGAGAGAAGTGAGAGAGGAGTGAGAGAGGAGTGAGAGAGGCGGGGAGAGAGGAGGGAGAGAGGAGTGAGAGAGGAGTGAGAGAGAGAGGAGTGAGAGAGGAGTGAGAGAGGAGTGAGAGAGGAGTGAGAGAGGAGGGAGAGAGGAGTGAGAGAGGAGGGAGAGAGGAGTGAGAGAGGAGGGAGAGAGGAGTGAGAGAGAAGTGAGAGAGGAGTGAGAGAGGAGTGAGAGAGGCAGGAGAGAGGAGGGAGAGAGGCAGGAGAGAGGAGGGAGAGAGGAGTGAGAGAGGAGGGAGAGAGGAGTGAGAGAGGAGGGAGAGAGGAGTGAGAGAGGAGGGAGGGAGAGAGGAGAGAGAGAGGAGGGAGGGAGAGAGGAGAGAGGGGAGGAGAGGAGTGAGAGAGGAGTGAGAGAGGAGTGAGAGAGGAGTGAGAGAGGAGGAAGAGGGGAGGGAGAGAGGAGGGAGAGAGGAGTGAGAGAGGAGGGAGAGGGGAGGGGAGGAGAGGAGGGAGAGAGGAGTGAGAGAGGAGTGAGAGAGGAGGGAGGGAGAGAGGAGAGAGAGAGAGAGGAGTGAGAGAGGAGGGAGGGAGAGAGGAGAGAGGGGAGAAGAGAGGGGAGGAGAGGAGTGAGAGAGGAGTGAGAGAGGAGTGAGATAGGAGGGAGAGAGGAGGGAGAGAGGAGGGAGAGAGGAGTGAGAGAGGAGTGAGAGAGGAGGGGAGAGAGGAGTGAGAGAGGAGGGGAGAGAGGAGAGAGAGAGGAGTGAGAGAGGAGTGAGAGAGGAGTGAGAGAGGAGTGAGAGAGGAGGGAGAGGGGAGTGAGAGAGGAGTGAGAGAGGAGTGAGAGAGGAGTGAGAGAGGAGTGAGAGAGGAGTGAGAGAGGAGTGAGAGAGGAGGAGAGAGGGGAGGGGAGGGAGAGAGGAGTGAGAGAGGAGTGAGAGAGGAGTGAGAGAGGAGGGAGAGAGGAGGGAGGGAGAGAGGAGTGAGAGAGGAGTGAGAGAGAAGTGAGAGAGGAGTGAGAGAGGAGTGAGAGAGGCGGGAGAGAGGAGGGAGAGAGGAGTGAGAGAGGAGTGAGAGAGAGAGGAGTGAGAGAGGAGTGAGAGAGGAGTGAGAGAGGAGTGAGAGAGGAGGGAGAGAGGAGTGAGAGAGGAGGGAGAGAGGAGTGAGAGAGGAGGGAGAGAGGAGTGAGAGAGAAGTGAGAGAGGAGTGAGAGAGGAGTGAGAGAGGAGTGAGAGAGGAGGGAGAGAGGAGTGAGAGAGGAGGGAGGAGAGAGAGTGAGAGAGGAGGGAGGGAGAGAGGAGAGAGAGAGGAGGGAGGGAGAGAGGAGAGAGGGGAGGAGAGGAGTGAGAGGAGTGAGAGAGGAGTGAGAGAGGAGTGAGAGAGGAGTGAGAGAGGAGGAAGAGGGGAGGGAGAGAGGAGGGAGAGAGGAGTGAGAGAGGAGGGAGAGGGGAGGGAGAGAGGAGGGAGAGAGGAGTGAGAGAGGAGTGAGAGAGGAGGGAGGAGAGAGAGAGGAGAGAGAGAGAGAGGAGTGAGAGAGGAGGGAGGGAGAGAGGAGAGAGGGGGAGAAGAGAGGAGGGAGAGGGGAGTGAGAGAGGAGTGAGAGAGGAGTGAGAGAGGAGTGAGAGAGGAGTGAGAGAGGAGTGAGAGAGGAGGGAGAGAGGAGAGAGAGAGGAGTGAGAGAGGAGTGAGAGAGGAGTGAGAGAGGAGGGAGGGGAGGGGAGAGGAGTGAGAGAGGAGTGAGAGAGGAGTGAGAGAGGAGTGAGAGAGGAGTGAGAGAGGAGGGAGAGAGAGGAGAGAGAGAGGAGGGAGAGAGGAGAGAGAGAGGAGTGAGAGAGGAGTGAGAGAGGAGAGAGGAGTGAGAGAGGAGGGAGAGAGGAGGGAGGGAGGAGTGAGAGAGGAGGGAGAGAGGAGAGAGAGAGGAGTGAGAGAGGAGTGAGAGAGGAGTGAGAGAGGAGTGAGAGAGGAGGGAGAGGGGAGTGAGAGAGGAGTGAGAGAGGAGTGAGAGAGGAGGGAGAGAGGAGAGAGAGAGGAGTGAGAGAGGAGTGAGAGAGGAGTGAGAGAGGAGGGAGAGGGGAGGGAGAGAGGAGTGAGAGAGGAGTGAGAGAGGAGTGAGAGAGGAGGGAGAGAGGAGGGAGGGAGAGAGGAGAGAGAGAGGAGAGAGGAGTGAGAGAGGAGGGAGAGAGGAGGGAGGGAGAGAGGAGAGAGGGGAGAAGAGAGGGGAGGAGAGGAGTGAGAGAGGAGTGAGAGAGAGGAGGTGAGAGAGGAGGGAGAGAGGAGAGAGAGAGGAGTGAGAGAGGAGTGAGAGAGGAGTGAGAGAGGAGGGAGAGGGGAGGGAGAGAGGAGTGAGAGAGGAGTGAGAGAGGAGTGAGAGAGGAGGGAGAGGGGAGGGAGAGAGGAGTGAGAGAGGAGGGATAGAGGAGAGAGAGAGGAGTGAGAGAGGAGAGAGAGAGGGGGAGGGAGAGAGGAGTGAGAGAGGAGGGATAGAGGAGAGAGAGAGGAGTGAGAGAGGAGAGAGAGAGGGGAGAAGAGAGGGGAGGAGAGGAGTGAGAGAGGAGGGAGGGAGGAGAAGCAGCTTGAGGAGGGGTCTGTTAGAAAAGTGTATAAAGTGTGTGGAGAGTTTTACAGCCGCAGAACAACAACAACAACAACAACAACAATTTATTCTTGTATTTCCCTAAATCACAACAGCATCATCTCAGAGACTTCACAAAACCATTGAAATAACACAGATCAGAGAATCAACAGTTAACACACATAAAGAACATAGAACACATGTTGATAAATGTCATACATGTAGAATGTTAAAGTGTTCTGGATCATCACAGTCCTTCTAGTTGGACACTAACTGTCCAACAGACTCCTGCATCAGAGGAACAAGTGAGGAACCTCGGGGAACGACTTCAAGCATTTAACTTACTGCAGATTTAGTTTAGAACAATAACAGAGAAACTTCACTACAGCCCAGTGTGACACAGGACATTACGGTGCAATAATAACGTGACCACTCCATAGTACTGCAATATTTGGGTGATACAGTAAGTATTGAGATTGAAGTCTACGATATCAGCAATTCATGACCCTCATATTATTCAAAAGCATTACAAAAGTTGAGGAAGATAAAACTCAAATGTCTCTAAAAATGAGGAGAGTAGTTCTAAAACGTAATCCTTAAACATTCAGGACACAGGGCTTTATGACAGGACCTGATGAGCTCCCAGCACAGAAGTTATTATAATTATTAAACTACAATAGACCGAGCCGCTGTCTCCAAACTTCATCACCCAGAGGGCTACTTTCCCGGGACGATAAACACAGAGAGCTACTTTCCCGGGACGATAAACACAGAGAGCTACTTTCCCGGGACGATAAACACAGAGGGCTACTTTCCCGGGACGGTAAACACAGAGAGCTACTTTCCCGGGACGATAAAAAACAGAGGGCTACTTTCCCGGGACGATAAACACAGAGAGCTACTTTCCCGGGACGATAAACACAGAGAGCTGCTTTTCCGGGACGATAAACACAGAGAGCTATTTTCCCCCGGGCCAATAAACACAGAGAGCTGCTTTCCCGGGACAATAAAAACAGAGAGCTACTTTCCCGGGACGATAAAAACAGAGAGCTACTTTCCCGGGACGATAAACACAGAGAGCTACTTTCCCGGGACAATAAACACAGAGGGCTTCTTTACCGGGACGATAAACACAGAGAGCTACTTTCCCGGGACGATAAAAAACAGAGGGCTACTTTCCCGGGACGATAAACACAGAGAGCTACTTTTCCGGGACAATAAACACAGAGAGCTACTTTCCCGGGACAATAAACACAGAGAGCTACTTTTCCGGGACGATAAACACAGAGAGCTACTTCCCCGGGACGATAAACACAGAGAGCTACTTTCCCGGGACGATAAAAAACAGAGGGCTACTTTCCCGGGACGATAAACACAGAGAGCTTCTTTCCCGGGACGATAAACACAGAGAGCTACTTCCCCGGGACGATAAACACAGAGAGCTACTTTTCCGGGACGATAAACACAGAGAGCTACTTTTCCGGGACGATAAACACAGAGAGCTACTTTCCCGGGACGATAAACACAGAGAGCTACTTTTCCGGGACGATAAACACAGAGAGCTATTTTCCCAGGACAATAAACACAGAGAGCTACTTTCCCGGGACGATAAACACAGAGAGCTACTTTTCCGGGACGATAAACACAGAGAGCTACTTTTCCGGGACGATAAACACAGAGAGCTACTTTCCCGGGACGATAAACACAGAGAGCTACTTTTCCGGGACGATAAACACAGAGAGCTATTTTCCCAGGACAATAAACACAGAGAGCTGCTTTCCCGGGACAATAAAAACAGAGAGCTACTTTCCCGGGACGATAAAAACAGAGAGCTACTTTCCCGGGACGATAAACACAGAGAGCTACTTTCCCGGGACGATAAAAACAGAGAGCTACTTTCCCGGGACGATAAACACAGAGAGCTACTTTCCCGGGACGATAAACACAGAGAGCTACTTTCCCGGGACAATAAACACAGAGGGCTACTTTTCCGGGACAATAAACACAGAGAGCTACTTTCCCGGGACAATAAACACAGAGAGCTACTTTTCCGGGACGATAAACACAGAGAGCTACTTCCCCGGGACGATAAACACAGAGAGCTACTTTCCCGGGACGATAAAAAACAGAGGGCTACTTTCCCGGGACGATAAACACAGAGAGCTATTTTCCCGGGACGATAAACACAGAGAGCTACTTTCCCGGGACAATAAACACAGAGGGCTACTTTTCCGGGACAATAAACACAGAGAGCTACTTTCCCGGGACAATAAACACAGAGAGCTACTTTTCCGGGACGATAAACACAGAGAGCTATTTTCCCAGGACAATAAACACAGAGAGCTGCTTTCCCGGGACGATAAACACAGAGAGCTACTTTCCCGGGACGATAAAAACAGAGAGCTACTTTCCCGGGACGATAAACACAGAGAGCTACTTTCCCGGGACGATAAACACAGAGAGCTACTCCTTGAAGCGGTCCTGGGAAAGAGTGATGATATATTATTATTATATATGAACAGAATAAAAAAAATTCTCGACCGCTAATGCAAGACAGTGCAATAAAGTCAAGCCTTTGTTGTTGCCAAACGCTGCATTAAAAATCAGCCTTGATTATGTCAAGGAAATGTTGAGACTCGTGGCTGTGCTCAGCAGAGGTCTCTCTGAGAAGTGCTCCGTCAGACAGTGACACACACTGAGCGGCTTCCCTGAGGAGCAGAAACACAAACTGTGTGTGTGGCTGAGCTGATGGCAAAAGGACGCCTCATCTCAGGACACCCTCATGGTGTGTGTGTCAAAGTCATCTCTATAGTCCAAACAACTGGGGGTCGCTGCTCAGAAGAGTAGTGTAGGTGACGGCACAAACACAACCGGAACAGCTGTAATAAAAGAGAGGAGTTCATTCACATCTGCCTTCAGTCCTGCCATATCGCTCTGAACTCTGCCCCCTGTGGAAACAGGCTCTGCTCAAACATGCACGACTAACTCTATAAACAAATGTGTGTGAATGACAAGAGAAAACAACTAGACACAAGCAAAAGAGAGAAAACGTTCCAGCTGAAACATTCCCAGAGGTAAACTGAGACCTCAGAGTTTGATCCACCTGTTCTGCCTCTGCACGGCACGGCACAGAGCCCCTTTTGTTTTTTATCTTCAGAATCCATGGTAACTCGTTTCTGGGGAAGGGCAGACCTGACTTGTGCCCCTCCTGTCCACTAAACAAAGGCACAGAGTTATTACAGATGCCTCCAGAGAGGGGAGAGGGGGAGGGGGAGGGAGGGGAGAGAGAGGGGGAGGGAGGGGAGAGAGAGGGGAGAGAGGAGAAGGGGAGGGAGGGTAGAGAGAGGGGAGAGAGGAGAGGGGGAGGGAGGGGAGAGAGAGGGGAGAGAGGAGAGGGGGAGGGGGAGGGGGGTAGAGAGAGGGGAGAGAGGAGAGGGGGAGGGAGGGAGGAGAGAGAGGGGAGAGAGGAGAGGGGGAGGGGGAGGGAGGGTAGAGAGAGGGGGGGGGGAGGGTAGAGAGAGGGGAGAGAGGAGAGGGGGAGGGAGGGTAGAGAGAGGGGAGGGAGGAGAGGGGGAGGGAGGGTAGAGAGAGGGGAGGGAGGAGAGGGGGAGGGAGGGTAGAGAGAGGGGAGAGAGGAGAGAGGGAGGGAGGGTAGAGAGAGGGGAGGGAGGAGAGGGGGGAGGGAGGGTAGAGAGAGAGGGGGAGAGAGGAGAGAGGGAGGGAGAGGTAGAGAGAGGGGAGAGAGGAGAGGGGGAGGGAGGGGAGAGAGAGGGGAGAGAGGAGAGGGGGAGGGGGAGGGAGGGTAGAGAGAGGGGGGGAGGGAGGGTAGAGAGAGGGGGAGAGGAGGAGAGAGGGAGGGAGGGTAGAGAGAGGGGAGAGAGGAGAGGGGGAGGGAGGGGAGAGAGAGGGGAGAGAGGAGAGGGGGAGGGGGAGGGAGGGTAGAGAGAGGGGGGGGAGGGAGGGTAGAGAGAGGGGAGAGAGGAGAGGGGGAGGGAGGGTAGAGAGAGGGGAGGGAGGAGAGGGGGAGGGAGGGTAGAGAGAGGGGAGAGAGGAGAGGGGGAGGGAGGGTAGAGAGAGGGGAGAGAGGAGAGGGGGAGGGAGGGGAGAGAGAGGGGAGGGAGGGTGGAGAGGGGAGGAGAGAGAGGAAGGAGAGTAGAGAGAAGGGAGGGAGGGAGGGTGGAGAGGGGAGAGAGAGGAAGAGGAGGGAGGGGAGAGAGAGGGGGAGGGAGGGGAGGGAGGGGAGAGAGAGGGGGAGGGAGGGGAGAGAGAGGGGAGAGAGAGGGGAGAGAGAAATTTAGATTCAGATTCATTTATTTGCCATTTGCAGTAAAACCACATAGGAAAAACTGTGCAAGACTACCCCGGTGTGCACCAAAGAGGAAGAGGAAGGAGAGTAGAGAGAGGGGAGAGAGAAGGGGAGGGAGGGTAGAGAGAGGAGAGAGAGGGTAGAGAGAGGGGGAGGTAGGGTAGAGAGAGGGGAGAGGAGAGGGAGGGTAGAGAGAGGGGAGAGGGGGAGGGAGGGTAAATGGAGAAAGCTGCTTCGATTAGTTGGAATAGAAGTGACTGATAGAAAAATAGTCATTATCATCGAGACTCGGAGGATGTTTTTTACCAAAAAGCTCAAGTTCTTCTGATTTAATACAGCGGCTGCTTTGTCAGAATAACTTTCTATAAATATCCACCTTGTAACATAAAGTCATTTAGCAGAGGCAGGGTGTGAAAACTAAATATATCAGTATTTTAGACACTGATACTAAGTTACTCAACAAACAATACTTTTACTCTTACATGGAAGTCTGTGTTGTTGTTCCTTCAGACGGACTGAGGCTCTAATCTGTGCCATAGACCTCAGAACCCGGCCCTGTTCTGCAGATTCTGAGGTCTTATTGGATCTGGATTTCACGTAGAGCAAAATGATGTCTCTTTTAAGCCGTGCCTAAAACATGTGGAAAGACATTAACTCATTGACTGCTGCCGTTTTTGATGATTTCAGTGACTTTCAAGACCAACAGAATATTGTGCGCTATGACTGTGTTAAATATGAAACCAGATTCTGAAAGACTGATTTGTCTACTTTAATCAGCAAAAATAATTGGGTTTCTAGCTAGTTTTGTTCTCCAGCAATCCCCAGTCCAATAGAGGGAAGTTTGACAGAAATCACCAGTCGCGTTAATGTGGAAAGAATGGGGCAAAATAATGTCATACATATGTACCGTAGGTTAATGCATGGTTTGCTTTGGCAAGTATTCAGCAGTGACGGAGGGACTGCGGCACAGAGTGAAGATGGATTAAAAACTGTTCTTTGGATCCTGGTGAAAGATAATTGTTTGATGAGCAGAGCCACAGGTGCGTAGAGTGCGGAGAGTGCGTAGAGTGCGTTGAGTGCGTAGAGTCCGCAGAGTCCGCAGAGTCCGCAGAGTCCGCAGAGTCCGCAGAGTCCGCAGAGTCCGCAGAGTCCGCAGAGTCCGCAGAGTCCGCAGAGTCCGCAGAGTCCGCAGAGTCCGCAGAGTGCGTAGAGCTCTGGAGCGAGCCGTCTTTTCGCTCTGGCCCATGTGAGTGAGAGATTACCCATTAAGCCTCTGTGCACTTGAGGCTATAACTAAGTGTGAATTTTGGACAATATTTAACATCATTTCGGCAGACCATTAGTATTATTATTTTATTTTGCAAAGGGCTTCCTTAGGATTGCAGAGATTTATTTCCCCCTTATCTGTTTATACCACAAAAGTCACTGTGCATTTGGTGGCCACATATTATTCCAGGATCAAATACATTTCAGTTGAAGAACAAAACATTTGCTTCTGGAGGAGTCTGACAGCAGCACAAAGAGCCCAGAGTTATGGCTCCTGCAGGCCCCAGACCGGACCCGGACCCAGGAGCTCAATGGGCCGTTTAACTGCCCCCCTCTGCTCAGCGATCTCCCTGGCATTGGCTGTCCTGCTTTGAAACGCAATAGATACAAACATGTGGTTGACCTTAAATTACTCTAGATTTGTTTCGGTGTTTTTTGTGTTTTTTAATGTTCTTGTGTCTCAGAGTGCACAACACGAGCAGTAGGAATGAGGTGTGGAGACGTTTGATGCATGATTAGCTTATACAAACATTCCTGAGGCTCTGAACATCTCACAGAGCAGAGTTTAATGCTTTATCTGGAAATGGGAAGAGTATGGCACAACTGCAAATCTACCAAGACTTGATGGCCTGCCCTAATTCCCAGCTGGAACAAGGACAAAACGGATCACAGATGTAGACAAGAGGCCAATGGTTACTCTGGAGGGTCTGCAGACGTTCACAACTCACCCTTGGGAATCTGTACATGAGACAAACAGTAGTAATGCACAACTATGGCCTTTACGGAGGACGAGTGGTAAACAAAGGCTGCAAAAAGCAAAGCAGGGGACAGATTTAGGGAGAAGATGCTATTGTCACATGTCAGAAGTATGCCTAACACTAACAGGGCGGGGCAGCGTCATGTTATGGGGCTGCATTTCTTCAGCAGGGACAGTGAAGAGTGACATGGGAAGGTGGACAGGACATTATTGGAAGAAACGTTGCTGGAACTGGGTATTCCACATAATACAGTGGTTACTCACGCTGTAGGAATACTTCACAGTTCTCTGTTCTGAAAAGCGTATAAGTGGTGTATAATTTTGCGTTCACTTCACAGTTGTCTGTTACTTGTGTGTTAACTTTCAGTACAACATAAAATCTTTCTTTATGGTTGTAAACATGACCAAATGGGAAAACGTTTCTGACCAGGCTCTCTTTTTCAGCTTGAGCGTCCATCACCTGCTGTCACATGGAACGGCTTTGTGTGTTGCGTTGCGAGAAAGATAGATTTAGATAAATAACATAAAGTGTATGTGTGTGTGAGTGTGTCTGTGTGTGTGTGTGCGTGTGCGTGTGTGATAAACAGGGTCAAAAGTTGTGAAAAGAGGATTAGCATGTCATGTACCCTATAAGATTACTGCATTCAATAATTCTAACCAGAAATGCATGAGGCTGTAATCCACTGTATTATTAAAGTAGCATGTTAGCTCCCAGCAGTACCTCGGCCAATATCAAAGGAAGAATGTGGACAAAAGCAAACTAAACGCTACTTCTCATTGTTGCCTCTCTGTCGAAGGTCTTTTGTTTTTGCAGCACAGGCCTTGAACGCGTTTGTAGAACTCAGAGAACAATATCATGTAGCAGGATGTGGCTGTTCAAAGCGTGTCTGCGTCGCGGGGGAGGACAGGGCAAAATGGAGGCATTGTTTGTGTCCTGGCTCTCCTCGGCCTGGTGCTGATGTCGCTGGGACTGTTTTGGGACCTCAATGCTCAGGGCACTCGTGTGTGGAGGGGGAGGGGGGCCTGACTTGTTAAACACACGAAATGGAACTATAATAAAACCAATCTATAGTTCCTCACTCTCAAAACACTTTGGTTCTTTCACAGTATATTTTTGGTCACTGTCGCCTCTTTAGATCTGTTTTTTTATACAGGAAAGTGAAAAATAGAGAACCACTCACATCCGGCCGATCAGTTAAAGAGTTAAGTTGTGACTTTCATGGCTCTTTAATAATAATAATAATAATAATAATAATCCACTGACTCATTGAAGACGGGGGATGACATTCATACTGCTGCATGTTTTGGTTCTGTCTCACAAGTATGCAGAAAGATAACATGTTTTCTGATAAGATACATCTTGTTACTTTTTTACAAGGCTTGTTGGGACAAAAACATGGATTGTTTATGGGGGAAAGATACAGCTTTAAGATACAGTGCCTGTAACTACTCATAAATCAGCATTTAGTTTTTTACAGGGTGTTTTTAGCCATTGTCGACGTACTCAAATCAAGATCACAATTGAAACGGTTGCATAGAATGAAGACATCACATGCACAATGGACTTTTCACATCGTCTGTCCTCGCTGAGATTCACACTCACAGTGATTTATGCTCTATAAACGACTTTTATTTTTCCCCCTTCAAACCTTTATGTTTCAAATAAGTCATTTGACAAGACGACGTTAATCCCTGTATGGAATCAACTAAAAACAGCGCAAAATGCAATCAAAGTCCGCACTCAGACGGAGGTGGATGACACGTATATGGTTTCATCCACATGTACTTTAGATTATCTTCAGCATACTGTTAATTCCCACTAATAAATAGCCTTGCAAAACAAAGCCACGCTCATAAAGGACAGCTGATTGTGGTCAAACATTGACTGAATACTTCACTGAGCGAGCCCCACCCTCTGATCCGAGTATCAGCACAGTCTCAGTCATAACCAGGTCTGAACACGTAACGGACGGCTTCCTACTCCTCTGAAAGTCCAAATATGACAGGTCTGACCACTTGTTTATCTAAAACAGATAGTTAGGATGAATATATTTGACTCAGATTGGTAGAATTCTATCAAGTTTTTAAAGTCTGGTGAAATATATAATGTTACTTTCTCTTGTTTTTTCCAGACATGTTCGACAAACAGCATTACGACAGCCCTCCTGTCTACAGCCCACCTTCCAACAATGGCTACGGACCGCCGGGCAGCTTCCAGGACCCTACGAGTGACTACAACCCTTACCCCCCTCCGCCCGGATCCTACTACATAGAAGACAAGCCGCAGCACTTCTACAAATGGCTGTCACCTCCTGGGATTATCAAAGCGATGATGGGCACAGTGATCTTCCTCTGCGTGGCCATATTTGCGTGCGTAGCTTCCACCCTAATGTGGGACATGCAGTACGGTATGGGCGGCATGGGTTATCCCGGGATGGGCTACGGAAGTGGTTATCCCGGTGGAGGCTATGGTTCAGGGTACGGGAGCTACGGAGGGAATTACGGAAGCTACTCAGGATCCTACATATCGCCGTACTCTGCCAAAACAGCCATGATCGCGATGGCGGCCATTAACTTCATCGTGTCGTTGGCGTTTTTCATCATGAGTTTTTCAAAGTCTCCTTCCGTGCGCAGCCGGAAGTACTTCCTGGCTCTGCTTATATCCTGCGTCATCATGGCCATACTGGAGGTAACTAAAGTCACTTCATTGTCTCGTGTTTGTCTAGAGTCACACATTTCGATACGTTCACGTTTGAGAAATCATTTAGATTGTTCTTGTTTATATTTCTGTGATTTACAATGTGAGATACACTGCCATGTTTTCTCCTACACTGGGAGCATTTGGGCATTGGCCAAGCTCAGTTAGGTCCATGTAGTTACTGTTAGGGAATAAGAGATGAGCGTGAGATTGACAGACGGATCGGTGCAGCGTGCGCAGTGATGCGATCGCTGTATCGGACCGTTGTAGTAAAGAGGGAGCAGCGTCTGCAGTCAGAGCTGTATCGGACCGTTGTGGTAAAGAGGGAGCAGCGTCTGCAGTCAGAGCTGTATCGGACCGTTGTGGTAAAGAGGGAGCAGCGTCTGCAGTCAGAGCTGTATCAGACCGTTGTGGTAAAGAGGGAGCAGCGTCTGCAGTCAGAGCTGTATCAGACCGTTGTGGTAAAGAGGGAGCAGCGTCTGCAGTCAGAGCTGTATCAGACCGTTGTGGTGAAGAGGGAGCTGAGCCGAAAGGCAAAGCTCTCGATTTACCGGTCAATCTTCGTTCCCTCCCTCACCTATGGTCATGAGCTTTGGGTAATGACCGAAAGAACGAGATCGCGGATACAAGCGGTCGAAATGAGCTTCCTCCGCAGAGTGGCTGCTCCCTTAGAGATAGGGTGAGGAGCTCAGTCACACGGGAGGAGCTCGGAGTAGAGCCGCTGCTTCTCCACGTCGAGAGGAACCAGTTGAGGTGGCTCGGGCATCTGTTCAGGATGCCTCCTGGACGCCTCCCTGGGGAGGTGTTCCGGGCACGTCCCACCGGGAGGAGGCCCCGGGGAAGACCCAGGACACGCTGGAGGGACTATGTCTCTCAGCTGGCCTGGGAACGCCTTGGGGTCCCCCCGGACGAGCTGGAGGAAGTGTGTGTGGATAGGGAAGTCTGGGCGTCTCTGCTTAGACTGCTGCCCCCGCGACCCGGCAACGGATGAAGTGGAAGAAAATTGATGGATGGACATAAGTGACAGACAGCTGTGAAGTGAAAACAAGATGAAACATGATTCTGTTCTTTTTCATTCAGCAGAGTTCATACTTTTGTTGCAATAACAGCAGACAGTCTTTTGGGGAATGACTCTATGAGATTTGCATATCTATAGACAAAGTTTAGCCCAATTCTTCTTTACAAAACACTTCAAGCTCTGTCAAAGTAGATGGAAAGCATTTGTGAACAGCAGTTTTCAGGACTTTCCACACATTTTCTCATGAATTTAGGTCTGGACTTTGGCCGGGCCATTCTAACACATGAAGATGTTTTAAACCATTCCATTGTAGATTTATCTCTGTGTTCAGGGTCACTGTCCTGCTGGAAGGTGAATCAGGCTTTCCTCCAAAACGTCACTGTATTTGGCTCCAACCTTCTTCTTCCTCGTGGTGGCTGTGTCCTCCATACTATAACTTCTGGCAAAGTTCAAACGAGATGTATTCCTTCTTACCACTTGTCTTTAAAGTGTCCCATGTACAGATCCCCCCAGCTCAGCAGCAGAACTTTGCTGCTCTTCCAGAGTCATCTTGGGGCACGTCGTTGCCTTTCTGACCAATGCTCTCCTTGTTCTATTTGTTAGTTTAGATGGATCGCCGTGTCTCAGTAAGTTTGCAGTGGTGCCATACTCGTTCCATTTCTGAAAGACTGATCGAACAGTGCTCTGTGAAATCTTGGTGTAACTTAACACTGCTTTAAACTCCCCCAACCTTTCCTCTCTGGCATTCTCCTTGGCCTTCATGATGTTGTTTAGTGACCAATAGACTCTGAGGCCCTCACAGAACAGCTGTATTTATAATGAGAATAGATCATTAGGCCAAAGTGTGAACATTCAGCCGTCATTAGAAATGTTTAAAGGCAATTTAATGCACCCGACAGAAAGCTGTACAAATACTTTTCTACTTTAAAGATAATAACAGAATCTTGTATCATTTTACATTCACTTCACAGTTGTCAGTTACATGTGCGTGAATATTCAGTAAAAAAGATTTAAATAAAATGTTTATGTTTATAGTAGTGCTGTCCAAAATATCGCGTTATTAACGCGTTAACGCAAATCAATATTAACGGCGTCATTTTTTTTATCGCGCGATTTTTTTTTACTTTTTATTGCAGACAAACACATATACAGAAAAAAAAATAGAAACAAAGAAAAGGACTAGTTCAGATACATTGTAGACAGAGATTACAAACAATATGTAGTTGGAGATACAGGGGGCCAAAGAAGAAACCCAGAAGGGCACATAGGAGGGGGGGGGGGGGGGGGGGACATGAAGTGGGAGATGGGGGGGAGGGGTTAATAAAAAGGCAATACAAGCAAACAGTATACAGTCATAGATATACCGAAGGTAAACAGAGAAACAGCATAGAGTATTTACATGAACAAATTTACAAAATATTTACAGATCATCATAATGACACCATGATGTTTCTATACAGTCTATGGTCTATACCCACACATACACACACACACACATACACACACACACCCACACACACACACACTCCACACACACACACACCCACACACACACACACTCCACACACACATTGAAGGGGCTTTTTGTTACCAATTATTTATTTTGTCATCCATTTATTGATGATTTTTTCATCAAATGTTAGTGTGTAATATAACACTACACATTGTTTTAAATAAAAAAAGCAATTGCACACAGCACGCAAATGTGTGACTAATTTGCGATTAATCGCGAGTTAACTATGAAATTCATGCAATTAATCGCGATTAAATATTTTAATCGTTGGACAGCACTAGTTTATAGTTGTAAACATGACAAAGTGTGCAACATTCCAGCTGTATTAATACTTTTGAGAGTCTGTACTTTATGTAATTATCTATGACAAAATTCTGTATTATTTATGCTAATTTTGGCCTTTAAAAATGTGTTGATTGTGAAATTCAGAAGTCGTTCCTGATATTAATGTGGACGCAGCTGTTTTGGATGAGTACACGCAAATGTCTGAACTCTTTTGGAGGCTCTGTAGTTTTGGCCTTTGAACCCTCTGTAAAGATAGGCCTCTGCAGTGGCTGTACTGACATTTGTCCTGAGAAAGTACTAATACAGTTGTTTTTATTGTTTATATTTTGCAAAAGATCCACAACAAAATAACAGCCAAAAATGAAGTGAATGTAAAATCCATCCATCCATCCCTTTTCTTCCCCTTAATCCATTTCTGGGTCGGGGGTGGCAGTCAGAGCACCAGCCCCTCACTGATCCTCCTGCAGGTGCTGAGTCCACAGGAGCTGAATTTAAAATGAGGTCCTGGGTTCGTATCCCGGTCGGAACAGGGCCTTTCTGAGTGGAGTTTGCATGTTCTCCCCATGTCTGCTTAGGTTTCCTTCGGGTACTCCGGTTTCCCCTACCACTAAAAACAATAGTTCTGGCATGTGCCTCCTGTACTGGCCCCTCCCATCTCTGTGTGGAGTGAGAGACAAATGCCCAAAAATAACAATTGTAAACCGCTTTGAGACTCTGGTCTGTGAAAGGCGGTATATAAATAAAGATTACCTACTTACTACTACTACTCTGACGCACTTCTCTGTCCCTGCTGAAGAAAAGCAGCCACACAACATGATGCTGCCACCCACATGTGACACTGAAGAGGGTGAAGCGGCGATAGCTTTGAGCCAAACATAACATTTAGCATCATCTTCTTCCACATAATTAAAATGTCTCCTGCTTTTTCTCGCAGCTTCAACACTCTGTCTGTTCACCACACGTCCTCCATCCAGATTTGTTTAGTGTATGACTAATATTTGCTCCATGTACACACTCCCGAGGTGAGCTGTGGAGGTCTGCTGCTCCTCCAGAGTAACCTTTGGCCTTATGTCTGCCTCTGTAGTCAGTGTTGTCCTAGTTGTAGCTGTGAGTTTTGGCAGACAGCCGAATCTTGGTAGATTTGCAGTGGTGCCATACTTTTCCAGAAGCTTTGGCCTTAGCTTTAAAATGTAATGTACTGTCAATATAATTCAAATTAAATACAGTTTCCCACCGTGGGACTAAGAATGGCATTCATTCAATCATTCATAATGCTTTTTAGTGACGAATACACCATCACAGCCCTGACTCCCTCACAGCTGTATTTATACCAAGAGTAGAGTACACACAGTTTACCTCTATTTAATCATTAACTCATTGACTGCCATTGACTTATTTGTCTGAGACCCTCTATTTGACTGGGGATTACAGGACCATAGAAACAGCTAGAAACAAGCTTATTTTTGCTGATGAAAGTAGACAATCCAGTCTTTCAGAATCTGGTTTCATATTTCACATAGTCATAGGAAATAATATTCTGTGGGTCTTGAGAAACAGTGGAATGATCAAAAACGGCTGGCAGTCAATGAGTTAAGGGCAAGATCTGAACATTCAGCCGTCATTACACATTTTTAAAGGCATTTTTTTGCACTCAATACTCGTGTATAATTTTGCTTTTAACTCACCGTTGTTCGTATAGTGTGTTAACTTTCAGTAAAAAAATCTACAGAAATCCAGATATGTGTCTGAACAACAAATTCGACAAGTGACGAGAACTGTCTTCACTTGTCGAGGAGAGGGACAGACACGTTTTCTTTGATATGAACGTTGTCTTTCTTGCACGCAGGCCATCATCAGCATCGTCTACATCGTGGGAGTGAACCCCATGGCCCAAGGCTCCTCCAGCATGATGTACAACCCCATGTTGATGATGTGCCAGAGCCTGTACCAGACCTCCTACTCACAGATGGGGGGAGTCGGAGGCTTCCCCATTTACAACCAGTATCTCTACCACTACTGCTTCGTGGACCCGCAGGAGGTGAGCCACGCAGCTGTGTGCTAATGTTATACAGAATATTAATCTTCCACAGCAAAGGACATGACCTGAGTGTGAACAATATCTGATCTTCATCTTATTAGAAAACACGCTCTCTTTTGAATACTTCTCTGATTGTCAGACGTTAGAAGTGTTTTGAAAGTGAATGACTATAACTAATATGGATTTTATAATTGATTTTTTATGCATGTTTAGGTATTGAAAACATCGAATCAAGTAAAATGTGTGCGTTATCAGTGCTGATATTGGCCAATATTGATATATTTGGGTTTTTTATACTTCATATTATGAGTCTAGTCCATCGTACTGGTGAAACAACAATGATACAACTAAATACATGTGTCTGTTTCACAATAGCACTCATGTTGTAACACACTCCCACAAACGGTCTGATACATTTAGTTCAGTTTGATTTAGTCAAAATGTACATGAATAACAGGTTATATACAGTATATATATATATATATATATATATATATATATATATATATTACACACTCTTAGTGGTCTAATAAAGTCGTTTCAATCACAATCCAACTTTTGTTGCCAGAATCGTCCTGCCTGTCAAACACATAGCTGATTGCTGATGTAATCCACCTGCTGGGGTTTAGCTTCAACACATTCAACAAACTGTCAACACAAATGAGGGCCTCAGGTTCTTTGATGTGTTTTTATAATGTGGTTGTTTGTGCTTGTGTATGTACGTTCTTGGCCAGGTCTGCCTCGTAAAAGAGATTTTATCTAAAGGGACTTCCCGGTTAAATGAAGGTTAAATAAATTCTGTTATTGAAGAATCTGCTTGATAATTGTATTACATGAATATTATGAATATCAAAAATAATAACACTTTAAACTATTGAGAAAAGGTCAATGCAGATTTGCACATATTATCTGAGGACACATGTGTAAAGGATGTACATGTAAGTCATACTGTCCCTTTAAACATGATCCTTTGAATCATGATCCAGCGTTTCCCGTCAAAGGTGTATTCACTTCCTTCTGTTGGATGTTCTCAGGGCGTGGCCATGGTGTGCGGCTTCCTGGTTGCTCTTGCATTGGGGGTGGCTGCTTTCTACGCTCAAAGGACTCGGGGCAAGATCTGGCGCTACGGAAAACCCAACATTTACTGGGAGGAGCCTCTGGTGGGCGGGAAGGCGTCAGAAGGCAGGGACGTGGAGGAGTGGGTAAGGAACACTGTGGATTATTAAATGGGATTTAGCAGAATGGGGAAAAACGAACAATATGAAAATACAATTCAACCCAAAGTGATCCCGCAGCTTATCGTCTGGGACTAAACAAGGGCAAAGACGGCTTTAATCCTCCCTCATTTGATTAGATGAAATATTGTTCAACTGTTGCTGCTGTTTTTGGCTTTCTTTTCCACATAAACTATTAAAGTACAATACTCACTAATTACCAGGGATATCTCACAGTGAAACATGTGTTACTGTTGTAGAGAGACGCACAATGTTGGAAAATCATTCATTCATAATAACACAAACCTGACAGCTGCTCTTTTGGGGCAGTCAGGTCAGTTATTGGTATAAATCATCACAACACCAAAGTTTAGCTCAATCTGTTCAGTAGTTCTTATGCAAATCCTTCCACACACACACACACACACACACACACACACACACACACACACACACACACACACACATACACACATACATACACACACATGATTTGTTAGCACTCTCGCAAGAAGGTCCTGGCTTTGAATCCCGGTCGGAACAGGGCCTTTCTGAGTGGAGTTTGCATGTTCTCCCTGTGTCTGCGTAGGTTTCCTCCGGGTGCTCCGGTTTCCCCTACCACTAAAAACATGCACAATAGGTCTGAATGTAAATGAGAGAGTGAATGATGGTGTTGGAGCTGATGGTCCAGTGTGTTCTGGACTCGCTTCTGTCATCACCGTGTGTGGAAGGATTGGAACAATATCTGACTCTGAACATTGGAAAGTGCTTTGGGTCTGTACCTTTGGGTCTGTACCTTTGGGTCTGTACCTTTGGGTCTGTACCTTGGTCTGTAACATGTGCTTTATAAATAAACATTACTTATTTACTTACATACAGACACGCACACACAAAGCCTCAGCAAGTAGGGGCAAAACTTCACCACGAGCACTTCACTTTAGGGGACCATTAGGGTCAGTCCTCTCTGGTTTTTAATTTTATAATTTTACTATATTATTTACATACAAGTGCAACGATGTATCTGTTTTGAACAAAATGTCTTGATTTGGATGAGGCTATAGTTGAAGCAGAGCCAGAACCACAGCAGTGACTGTTGTCGTTCAGCCCTTTCAACACAGCTGCGGCCTGTCACATGATTCCTGACGCATTCAGATATTTGAAAGTCCAAAATAAAGGTGATATAGTTCAGGTTTTATGGCCCAAAGTGCTCTCACAGTGTCTACACACAGAGCCTACACAGAGTTTACACACAGAGCCTACCCAGAGCCTGCGTCTGCCCTGGGTCCAGTGCTGGTTTCACTGGGGATAATCATTAACTCCTGTAGATACGGAGGCAGCCAGTTTCTACTCTTTTATATGAACAGCGAGCCGCGAGTCGATGATTGACCTGACCTCGCACCTTTGAAATGACAGCAGTAATAAAAGTCAATGGTTTATAAAAGGCCAAGGCTTGTTTGGATTCACAACTGGAGAATGGCACGTTTGTAAAGTTTAAGAAAGAATTATTACACATAATTTAAGACTATTTACTTTGTCATTTCATGTTTGAAAATGTGAATGAATATCTTCAGTAGAAAAGTATCATGGGTAAATAATGCTATCCGCATGCCCTACTCCTATGCAGGGGATAGGGCAGACCGCAGAAGAACAGAAGAACAGAGTAGAAGAGGTAAACAGTACAGACCAAAAGTTTGGACACACTTTCTCATTCAATGAGTGTCCTTTCTTTTCATGACTATAGCTGTAGATCCACACCAGGCTGTGTTAGGGCTGTTTGACCAATAAGGAGAGAGACCGGACCTGAACCCAGTCCAGATGGTTTTGGACCTGAACCCAGTCCAGATGGTTTTGGGGCTGGACCACAGAGTGAAGGGGCCAACAAGTGCTAAGCATCATGGGAACTCAGACCATTTCAGGTCCTGTTGAAGCTCATCCAGAGAATGCCAAGAGTGAAGCAGTATCAGAGCAAAAGGAGCTACTTTGAAGAACCAGAACATAACACATATTTACACTTGGTTCATACTTTATTTTTTTTTAGTACGTACATAATTCACATGAGTTCATTCATAGTTTTTAGGCCTTCAGTGTGAATCTACAATTTTCATGATCATGAAAATAAAAAATTCTTTGAATGAGAAAGTGTGTCCAAACTTTTGGTCTGTACTGTATATATATATATAAAAAAAAAAATTGGCGGTTATCCCTCTCTAAGCTCGGGTCCTCTACCAGAGGCCTGGGAGCTTGAGGGTTCTGCGCAGTATCTTTGCTGTTCCTAGCTCTGCACATTTCTGGACCCAGATGTCCGAGGTTGTTCCGGGGATCCGCTGTAACCTCTTCTAGCTTCGGGGTCACTGCCCCGAGTGCACCAATCACCACGGGCACTACTGTCACCTTTACCCTCCAGGCCCTCTCCAGCTCCTCTCTGAGACCTTGGTATTTCTCAAGCTTTTCATGTTCCTTTTTCCGGATGTTACCATCGCTTGGAATTGCCACGTCCACCACCACGGCTGTCCTCTGTCCTTTGTCCACCACCACGGCTGTCCTCTGCCCTTTGTCTACCACCACGGCTGTCCTCTGCCCTTTGTCCACCACCACGGCTGTCCTCTGTCCTTTGTCCACCACCACGGCTGTCCTCTGCCCTTTGTCCACCACCACGGCTGTCCTCGCCCTTTGTCCACCACCACGGCTGTCCTCTGCCCTTTGTCCACCACCACGGCTGTCCTCTGCCCTTTGTCCACCACCATGGCTGTCCTCTGCCTTTTGTCCACACCACGGCTGTCCTCTGCCCTTTGTCTACCACCACGGCTGTCCTCTGCCCTTTGTCCACCACCACGGCTGTCCTCTGCCCTTTGTCCACCACCACGGCTGTCCTCTGCCCTTTGTCCACCACCACGGCTGTCCTCTGCCCTTTGTCCACCACCACGGCTGTCCTCTGCCGTTTGTCCACCACCACGATGTCAGGTTGGTTCATTACCATTCGGTCGGTCTGTATCTGGAAGTCCCACAGGATCTTTGCACGCTCATTCTCCACCACCTTTGGAGGAGTTTCTTAGACCTTGGGGTTTCCAGCCCATACTCTGCACAGATGTTTCTGTACACTATGCCAGCCACTTGGTTATGGCGTTCCATGTAGGCCTTCCCTGCCAGCATCTTGCACCCTGCAGTTATGTGTTGGATCGTCTCAGGTGCCTCTTTGCACAACCGACACCTTGGGTCTTGTCTGGTGTGGTATATCTGGGCCTCTATCGCTCTGGTGCTCAGGGCCTGTTCCTGTGCAGCCATGATGAGTGCCTCTGTGCTGTCCTGTAGGCCAGCCCTTTCTAGCCATTGGTAGGACTTCTTGAGATCAGCCACTTCTGTTATGCTCCGGTGGTACATGCCGTGTAGGGGCTTGTTCTCCCATGATGGGCTCTCCTCCAGCACCTCCTCATCTCGCCACTGCCTGAGACATTCACTGAGTACGTCATCCGTTATGGCCTTCTCCATGATGTAGTTATGGAGTTTGGATGTTTCGTCCTGGACAGTGGCTCTCACACTCACTAGTCCTCGGCCTCCTTCGCAACGGCTTACGTACAGTCTCAGGGTGCTGGATTTGGGATGGAACCCGCCATGCATGGTAAGGAGCTCTCGAGTTTTAACATCCGTGGTCTGAATCTCTTCCTTTGGCCACCTGATTATTCCTGCAGGATCTGATCACTGGCGTAGCTGTTAATTGCCCGGGCCTTGTTCTTGCCATTGAGCCGGCTTCTTAGGACCTGCCTTACTCGCTGGAGGTATTTGGCAGTTGCCGCTTTCCTCGTCACCTGTTCGAGGTTGCCATTTGCCTGTGGTATACCGAGATACTTGTAACTGTCCTCAACGTCTGCTATTGTTCCCTCTGGGAGTGAGATCCCTTATGTGTGGACTACCTTGCCTCTCCGAGTCACCATCCTGCTACATTTCTCGAGTCCGAATGACATCCCGATGTCATGGCTGTAGATCCTGGTTGTTTGGATCAGAGAGTCGATGTCTCTCTCGCTCTTGGCGTACAGCTTGATGTCATCCATGTAGAGGAGGTGACTGATCTTTGCTCCGTTCCTGAGGCGGTATCCAGAGCCAGTCTGGTCAATTACTTGGCTTAGAGGGTTGAGGCCTATGCAGAACAGTAGTGGGGACAGAGCATCTCCTTGGTAGATACCACATTTGATGGTCACTTGTGCGAGCGGCCATTTGCCTCAAGGGTGGTCTTCCACATTCCCATCGAGTTTGCAACGAAGTCCCTTAGAGCCCTGTTGATATTGTACAACTTCAAGCATTCCATGATCCATGTGTGTGGCATTGAGTCGTAGGCTTTCTGGTAATCAATCCAGGCTGTGCATATATACAGTGCCTTGCGAAAGTATTTCGCCACATTTCAGGCTTCAAACATAAAGATATAACATTTTAAATTTTTGTCCTGAATCAACAACAAGTGGGACACAATCGTGAAGTGGAACGAAATTTATTGGATAATTTAAACTTTTTTAACAAATAAAAAACTGAAAAGTGGGGCGTGCAATATTATTGGGCCCCTTTACTTTCAGTGCAGAAAACTCACTCCAAAAGTTCAGTGAGGATCTTTGAATGATCCAATGTTGTCCTAAATGACTGATGATGATAAATAGAATGCACCTGTGTGTAATCAAGTCTCCGTATAAATGCACCTGCTCTTTGATAGTCTCAGGGTTCTGTTTAAAGCGCAGAGAGAACCATGAAGACAAAGGAACACACCAGGCAGGTCCGAGATACTGTTGTGGAGAAGTTTAAAGCCGGATTTGGATACAAAAAGATTTCCCAAGCTTTAAACATCTCAAGGAGCGCTGTGCAAGCAGTTATATTGAAATGGAAGGAATATCAGACCACTGCAAATCTACCAAGACCCGGCCGTCCCTCCAAACTTTCATCTCAAACAAGGAGAAGACTGATCAGAGATGCAGCCAAGAGGCCCATGATCACTCTGGATGAACTGCAGATAACTACAGCTGAGGTGGGAGAGTCTGTCCATAGGACAACAATCAGTCGTGCACTGCACAAATCTGGCCTTTATGGAAGAGTGGCAAGAAGAAAGCCATTTCTCAAAGATATCCATAAAAAGTCTTGTTTAAAGTTTGCCACAAGCCACCTGGGAGACACACCAAACATGTGGAAGAAGGTGCTCTGGTCAGATGAAACCAAAATTGAACTTTTTGGCCACAATGCAAAACGATATGTTTGGCGTAAAAGCAACACAGCTCATCACCCTGAACACACCATCCCCACTGTCAAACATGGTGGTGGCAGCATCATGCTTTGGGCCTGCTTTTCTTCAGCAGGGACAGGGAAGATGGCTAAAATTGATGGGATGGGAAGATGGATGAGCCAAATACAAGACCATTCTGGAAGAAAACCTGTTGGAGTCTGCAAAAGACCTGAGACTGGGACAGAGATTTATCTTCCAACAGGACAATGATCCAAAACATAAAGCCAAATCTACAATGGAATGGTTCACAAATAGACGTATCCAGGTGTTAGAATGGCCAAGTCAAAGTCCAGACCTGAATCCAATCGAGAATCTGTGGAAAGAGCTGAAGACTGCTGTTCACAAACGCTCTCCATCCAACCTCACTGAGCTCCAGCTGTTTTGCAAGGAAAAATGGGCAAGAATTCCAGTCTCTCGATGTGCAAAACTGATTGAGACATAACCCAAGCGACTTGCAGCTGTAATTGCAGCAAAAGGTGGCGCTACAAAGTATTAGTGCAAGGGGGCCGAATAATATTGCACGCCCCACTTTTCAGTTTTTTATTTGTTAAAAAAGTTAAAATTATCCAATACATTTCGTTCCACTTCACGATTGTGTCTCACTTGTTGTTGATTCTTGACAAAAAAATATTTTTTTTATCTTTATGTTTGAAGCCTGAAATGTGGCGAAATGTTGAAATGTTCAAGGGGGCCGAATACTTTCGCAAGGCACTGTATATATATATATATTACATAGTGTATATATATATAATTATAAACAGATCTACATGGTCAAAACACCATAAGGCTTGATTTATTTTGTTATATATTTATTATTATCATGATATTATCATTGTGCCCATGAATCCCAATCATATTATTTAGCAGCATTGATGTCACATTGTGATTAGTTGAGTATTGTCTGCATCTCTCAGTAACAGGTGCAGTTTATCTTGTCCTGTAAAAGCCCAGTGCAGTCTGTGACTCAGGACAGAACATTATCACAGTGTACGACAGAAACGCAGAGTCAGAGCTGTGTGTGCAGTGACCTCATCGAGCCTGTCATGGCTCATGTGGATTCCACCGCTCACACTGAAGTCACGCTGTAGAGCAGGCTTTTGGACCGCCAACACGTTCCATACTATATTTATAGTTATCATTTCATTTTCCTTTGGTGCTCCGGTTTTCCCTGCCACTAAAAACATGCAATAGGTAAGATCCTCCAGCTATGGTCGTCCTGACCAGGTCAAGCATCGACATCCGCAGCTTCTGTACGGCGACCAGTCCTCCTGACAGAGGCCCTCGGTGACCAGTCCTCCTGACAGAGGCCCTCGGTGACCTGTCCTCCTGACAGAGGCCCTCGGTGACCAGTCCTCCTGACAGAGGCCCTCGGTGACCAGTCCTCCTGACAGAGGCCCTCGGTGACCAGTCCTCCTGACAGAGGCCCTCGGTGACCAGTCCTCCTGACAGAGGCCCTCGTGGCATTGGAAGGATGGATCAAAGGATCAGAAATACAAGGATAAACCAAAGTATAACATCATATTCTCCACACCGACACACTGTATGGAGAGTATGTGCCATGTCCTCTGCTGTTGGCTTTTGGCCCTTATAGAATTCAATCAAAGCAATACATTTGACGACTGAGGCTTAGATTTTGAGATTCCGTTGTCATGAGTAGGCCGGTGATATGCCTCGCTCTTGCGCTCGGCTCTGGGCATCAGCAGATTCAGCACTGCCCTGTAGCTCTGTGTCTGGAGCAGAGTGAGACGGGCTGATGAGCTCACACACTGTCCCCATTCAGAGGCCCTGAGATGACATCACCTCCACCGCCAGCAGAGCAATGCAGGGACCGCCATCCTATGTTCACAAAGTATTGATTTATAATCATTTTAAAATACCACAAAGCTAACATTATGAACAAACAAACTCTGCAGTCGATGAAAAAGATGAATACATCTGTTTGACGGTGAAGGCGCTGTATAAATAAAGATTACTTACTTACTTGTTCTCCTTCATGTCAGCGCACATGTCAGACTTACGCTTTAATCAAAAGTCTCTCTAACTTGTTACTAGGCACAAGCATGTACAAAGACTAGAGCAAAGTTTATTATTTACCTTCAGTTTAAGACAATAGATTGTAACTTCCTTCGGATTCAGCGCTCTTTGGGTGCTTTCCTTTGGGCCCTGCAGCTGTGTCTTTCTCTCTCTCTCTCTCTCTTTGGAGGGACATTGTTGAGATTCTTGAATAAATAAAGTCTGCAGATGAAAGGGGGCCGCCTACACCCACCTTTCCACCCAGGGCAGTGTTGTTGCTCTGATGGGGTGAGCCAGGTCTGCAGCGCTCTGCAAAAACACAGGAATTTGGGAGGTTTTGACTTGAGTAATTTACAAAACTTGTTGTGAATAAGAAAGTACAGCATGTATCTGAGGAATAATGTGATAGAAAGATTAGAAAGGTGCTTCAGTAGCTCAGAAAATGTTATATAATTGCAAAAACATCAGGTGATCTTTGAGGATGAAAACAGAATTAAAGAGAGATGTCACATCTCAAGGGGCATTCCATTAATAAACTAAACTAAACTCTTTCACACGGATCAAACAGGGGCCACTGTACACAGTGAAGTCACACATCATGCTACATACTGTAAGTGCAGAACAGTCCAGTGCCTCTCCAAAAGTACTAATACACCTTGGAAACATGTTTACAACCATAAACATACAGATTTTATTTAGATTTTGTACAAATAAGAAACAGAGGACTGTGACGTGAAAGCAAATGAATACATGATAATGTTATTTTTCTAAAAACTGAGAAGTAAGGGATGAAGTTTTCAATCTGTGTGGAATCCCAGCTCCAGCAGAAGTACAGTCGAGTGGGAAGCACAACACGCGTGGTTAGAGAGTGTGAACGGTAATTACTACCAAGCGAACTGTACTTTTTGCCGTTGTGTGTTTCTCACGGGGGTCTGTCTGATGTACGACAACGTGCGGCAGGAGAACAACATTCCTGCACTGCTAAGTCCAGAGCAAATCAGATCAACCTCTCTCAATTCTTCATCCCTGAAGCAGCCCCAGAGGCAGACAGTGTAATGAGTTCTGACTTTCTTATAAGTTAAAGGAGCTATACCTGTTTCTGCAGGTTTTTCTCAGTTTGAATGTTTAGCCCCGCCCCCAACTCGCTCACAGGCTTCTCATTTCCCCTACGCCCTCCTCCCATGAAGCCATCTAGTTTTATTTACAATCTGATACGTATGCTAACATTAGCATTAGCGCAACTTCTTGTAAGCCGTACAACAGCAACGCACTGCTAACAAAATATATAACTGAAAGATTACCGCAAGTTTCACGTCCGAATGTGGTCCGAGGATGTCTCGCTCCCGCAGGTCTCTCCAGAGGATTCCATGTAAGCCAACGCCACGTATATTCACCCGCCAGAGGAGCCAGAGGAGCCAGAGGAGCCAGAGGAGCCAGAGGAGCCAGAGGAGCCAGAGGAGCCAGAGGAGTAACAGGGAATTTACACAGTAGGCGTTAACAGCGCGTACGCGTTGACTGCGCGTAACATTATTTGGGTGTATCTACACTGTACTACTGTACACTGTAGTCTGTACACTGTACTACTGTACACTGTACTACTGTACACTGTACTACTGTACACTGTAGTCTGTACACTGTAGTCTGTACACTGTACTACTGTACACTGTACTACTGTACACTGTACTACTGTACACTGTAGTCTGTACACTGTACTACTGTACACTGTAGTCTGTACACTGTACTACTGTACACTGTACTACTGTACACTGTACTACTGTACACTGTAGTCTGTACACTGTACGTCTGTACACTGTACTACTGTACACTGTACTACTGTACACTGTACTACTGTACACTGTACTACTGTACACTGTACTACTGTACACTGTAGTCTGTACACTGTACTACTGTACACTGTACTACTGTACACTGTACTACTGTACACTGTAGTCTGCAGAGCAGTGCAGAGGACGGATGTAGAGCAACACACATGACATGTGTTTGTCCTCATGGTCTCTGTGTGTGTGTGTGTGTGTGTGTGTGTGTGCGTGTGTGTGTGTGTGTGTGTGTGTGTGTGTGTGTGTGTGTGTGTGTGTGTGCGTGTGTGCGTGTCTGTGTGTGTGTGTGTGTGCGTGTCTGTGTGCGTGTGTGTGTGCGTGTCTGTGTGTGTGTGTGTGTGATCTAGAGCCAAGGGTTACTAGAAAAATCATGTTTCACTTGTGATTTCAATGGAGACGCGTTGTTGCGCGCACAAAATTAGAAATCCATCCTAAATTAGGCGCAGCCTCGCGTCACATGTCCGTCACGCGTCCGTCACGCGTCCGTCACGCGTCCGTCACGCGTCCGTCACGCGTCCGTCACGCGTCCGTCACGCGTCCGTCAAGCGTCCGTCACGCGTCCGTCACGCGTCCGTCCGCGTCCGTCACGCGTCCGTCAAGCGTCCGTCACGCGTCCGTCACGCGTCCGTCACGCGTCCGTCACGCGTCCGTCACGCGTCCGTCACGCGTCCGTCCGCGTCCGTCACGCGTCCGTCACGCGTCCGTCCGCGTCCGTCACGCGTCCGTCACGCGTCCGTCACGCGTCCGTCCGCGTCCGTCACGCGTCCGTCACGCGTCCGTCACGCGTCCGTCCGCGTCCGTCAAGCGTCCGTCACGCGTCCGTCACGCGTCCGTCACGCGTCCGTCCGCGTCCGTCACGCGTCCGTCCGCGTCCGTCACGCGTCCGTCACGCGTCCGTCCGCGTCCGTCACGTGTCCGTCACGCGTCCGTCACGCGTCCGTCACGCGTCCGTCACGCGTCCGTCACGCGTCCGTCAAGCGTCCGTCACGCGTCCGTCACGCGTCCGTCACGCGTCCGTCACGCGTCCGTCAAGCGTCCGTCACGCGTCCGTCACGCGTCCGTCACGCGTCCGTCACGCGTCCGTCACGCGTCCGTCAAGCGTCCGTCACGCGTCCGTCAAGCGTCCGTCACGCGTCCGTCAAGCGTCCGTCACGCGTCCGTCACGCGTCCGTCACGCGTCCGTCACGCGTCCGTCACGCGTCCGTCAAGCGTCCGTCACGCGTCCGTCAAGCGTCCGTCACGCGTCCGTCAAGCGTCCGTCACGCGTCCGTCACGCGTCCGTCACGTATAACACTAGTGTAAATATCACCTTTGGTTAACATGGAAAAATGTTACACTCGTCTGCTGCGCGTATAACGCGTACGTGCTGTAACACGTGATGTGGAAATTAGCAGTTATAGCCACTTATGCTAACATGCTACTGTGTTTAGCAGCGCTGTAGAGGCTAGAGGACGCAGCCTGTTCTGTGATTGGAGGAGAGCGGGCGTCACGCTAAGTCTCTACTCAGCACTTTTTACTGAGTTCATCCACAGCTGAATCAATGAGCTCAAGTTTTACATTACATTACGGATTATAACTTGTTTGTAGTAATAAGAATGTTTATGAACTCATTAGAAAATAAATGGGGCATAGCTTCTTTAAGTGGAATGTGTTTTTGTATGTTTATATGACAAACAATACAGTCCTATATATATATATAGTAAAGGTAATTGTTGTTCGGTTGTTTGCAGTCAGTTCAAGGTGTATTAGTACTTTGGAGAGGCACTGTCTGTAACTGAGTAATGTCTTTCCCTGATCTGTGTTTTTGAAGTGATATGAGACAGATCAGGGCAGGCACATTTACAGCTGGGAAATATGATTTTGTCAATTTCAGCAAGACTTTTGTAAAGATGTTACAAGGACAGGTTTGGCACAGAAGTGAAGTAGGATCATTGTACTGTCTATAACGAAATGAAAAACAGAAAAATCAACCTTTACTGTTTACCATAAATGGATTTGTGATCACATGTCCTTGGGTTTATTGATTGTTTTTGTGTCTTTTCATTCAGCATGAAAGGTGGAAGTTGGTTGATATTGTATCTCTGTGTTATCAGTGTGTAACTGAATGGCCTGACTCTCATTGTGCTGTGGAAAGATTAAAGTAAGATCAATAAATAGCCACTACTTCAGAGGGATCGCACACTGGGGTCGTCCTGGGGTCTTGTTTACTTTACTTTGGCAATTCAAGAGCTGTCCTCCGGAATCCCACAACTCAAGATCTGTAGGAAATATGAGGAGTATATGTTTAGAAGCCCGTTATTGTTCTATAAAGCTCTAAAGTGATTAGGTCACAGTCAGGAAGCGCGTTACCGATCTCAATACTTTGGCTTTCTGCCACAATGCTGACCTGAGCCAATACCAGTGAAGGATTAAATGAAGGTGAAGGTAAAAATGAAAATGAAAAAATATGCACCAAAATCACATCTTACAGAATTGGTTCGATTGCATTTCTAGCTGTTTGGACAGTTTATACTACATTTTTACTTGCTCTTCTAGATAAAGTGACGGGGGAGGGATAAGTGTCCTCAGAGAAACACATTAAAGTGGTTCTCACCCCCGCTCCTCGGAGCTTACGTCACTCACATTTCCTGTTCAAATCTTCCTCTAAATGGGCGTAGCCTGGAGGACTAAAGGGGGCGTGAACGAGACTGGGCCGTTTACATTGCTCTGGGCGGGGGGCTGCTGACGTCAGGTCCAACTTCTGTGCCAGTGTTGGCGCCAGATTCAAAATTCAAATGTAGTAATACAGGTCGCCAGCAGATGGCGCCTCACAGACGGTTTTAGGCAGAAAGTTTAACTTTCAACTAATTTGCACCAAAGTGACAAAATTATGACCAGGATATGTAGACAACACTATTGGACACTCATTTATACAGTTTATCAGCAAAAAAAAGTGGATTTGAGGGTGAGTTGTCCTTTAAGCTGATGCACAGACCGTCCTCTCGCCTCTTGAAGCCTCTGTCTCAATGTTTTTGATGAATTCAGCATGTTTTAATGTTTTAAATTATTGCTTTCCTCATTTTCATTTCGAGGTTGCGAGTGAGGTCCATGCTGTTTTGGGGATCCAGGCCTATCCAGGCCTATCCTGGCCTATCCTGGCCTATCCAGGCCTATTCTCTCTCCCCACACAGCCTTTCCGTGAGTTGTTTGTGTATCATTCCTGTTTCCTGTGCCATAGGTGAACAATGTGGAGGACAACCGCAGTGTGCAGGACGCGCCCACTCTGCTGGTGTCCGAGAAGGGGGCGGGACTCCTCAACGCCTCAGCCAATAGCGTCATGTCGTACCCCGCGGCCAAATCAGACAGCTTTGACGGGGACGCCTACAACGACAACGAGTGAGTGGAGCCCAGAGCTGAACTGTTGAAACTGAGTCGAGGGGATTGTCCAGCGGATAAGGGGATGCATGTGACAGTATCATTGTGCTGCTGTTTAGGCCTGTCACCATAACATTATTTACAATATATTATTACGTACTGTCATCTAGATATAGTACAATTGCTTTTTTCCACTGATCAAATTACATTTTAGTCTGTTACTGATTGAAGTTGTATTAGTGTAAAAGTTATATCTCAGCTTTAATGGGAAAATTCAACACAATTATTCTAGTTCTTTCAGAAGGTATATTCCTATTTCATTATTGTGCCACCACTCTTTATTTAATCTGAGTGATACATCCACCAATCTGTCTATTTATGATCTATGTCTATCTACTCACGCCCCAGTGCTAAAGTCATTGAAACATAGTGTCCTACAGACCTTTGAGCTGTGCCCGCTTGTTGCTGTGTTTATTGACCTAACCTAGTGATGACTAAAACAGGTCATAAATAATACTGACACATAAAATGTGTCACTTTTTAAATCATGCTCAATGGAACAGGAAAGAATAAAGTCAGCTACTACCAGTAGAGAAACAGTTTTCTTTGGGGATGAGCTACACCAGTGCCCTAAACATTGTTCCTATTGGTCCGTCTGCCTGCTTCATAGAGATGTCAAACAAAACTTAAACCTACAAATACTTCACCTGCACCTATCACAACTTAAACCCTAACCCTAACACTGTCAAACTACCAAATAAAACACTCCAATACTTCAAACCCACGAACTCTCCACCTTCATGCGGATCACCAAACCCAAGGACAACATCACCTCCACATTCATCACAGAAATGCAATAACTACTCATTCAAACGATTGGGCCTTGACCTGACCACACACCACAGTCTCTCCTCCTTCCAAACTCCTCACGGACATGAACTTAAAAACGTTCCACCGTCCCATCACCACGCTCACGCCCCTCATCAACACCATCATAATTGTTCCTGACAACTCTCAAAAAACATCAGGCCCCGTTTAGACTGGGGGGGAATTCATCAGCAAGTTCACTGCACGCTGCTTATGGGACTGGAAGCTGCAGGAGTGGCGAGGGGTTTCATCGCCGCTTGCGGCTTTAATTTTTATTATTATATCAGACTCAAAACAGATAATGTTTATAGTAAGTATAATCAGTGGAAGTGGCAGTGGTCAGACTCAGACATGCTAACGTCATTACTCAGTTCCTATCTTGGTTGTTGTGTCCTCGCCCAAATGTCATATCTGGCAACAAAGCCGCGGCCTCTCAGTCCGTCTACAGCAGTGGATTTAGATCCCCTTAAATCCCACAAAATGAAGCATGTTTCCTCTGTGCTGCTGTTATTAAACATTGTCTGGTTTCTAGTCTGAGAGGTGCAGAGAGAGCACAAGACAAACCCACCAAGAGTCCAGGATGTACTCCGGATTTATGAAAGCAGCTACAGGGAGACAAAGAAGTCGTGTTTGATATTAGTACTATGATATTTTCATTCATCTTATAGTGTTTATACTATTTGTATAATACCGTTCAGTTTCATGGACTTTGTTGGCTGGTTTGAGCGCAACCACCTGAGCTTGAACACCAGTGCGACGAAGGAGATGGTCATGGACTTCAGGAAGAAGACACTACACACTGCTGAATGTGCAATAAAAGTGTTTTATGTCAAATTAAAAGTGACTATTTATCTTTTCACTTCTGTTTACACATTTCCTGTCTTTTTGCGCTGTACATTTCTGATGGCCACTTTTGCCAAACTAGATTCTTTTCACTCAGTAGTGTTCAGTTTGACAAACTATCAGCCTTCCCTATACGAGCTAAAATACATACAAGTATATTTTATTTTGAAATGATCTGAAAGAAGGACGAGGTGAGTTATGTTTTTATCAGGGCTGAGGCAGAGATGATGCATTTGTGGTGTGTTTAAGCAGACATGTGCTGTTTCTGTCTGGGCGTGTGCTTGGTCAGATAATGATCATGTTGAACGGCCAAAACAACACTTCAACAACTAGTTTTCACAGCAGGAATGATCTTATCTCATGATAATCTTCATATCCGATTAAATTTTAGGTTAATTATGTAAGGTTACATGGTAAGTAAATAAATAAGGAGGTTAGTTTTAATCTAATACTTTTTATATTGATTGATTATTAGGAAAGAGCTGAGGAGATTTTTTTGGAGCTTTTGGATACAGATGCTGATTGGTCTGATGCATGTGATGTAGATGTTTGCTCTGGGGCGTTGGCACGGCATGCATTTGACTTCTTTAGTCTATTCCAAAGACGAACTTATAAAAAATCACCTACATTCCCTTTAGGTAGATTAATTTCATGCAGGGTCAAAGAAATTAAAAATGGCATTGTGGATGATTCATTAATGTCCACTTTCTCGCAGTCCAGTTGTATCTTGTTTGAAACCTTTAACAATGAATATATAATAATGAACCACAGTCAAAGATTCTCAGAATGGAACAAAACACTTATTAAGAGTATTACACACATGCACAGTGCACAGTGAAGCTTAGTTTGACAGCTTTGTGCTGGATTATCAATAAGATCTCATCGATGCATTGTTGCTGTCTCTGCAGATACACACAGCGGATGAGTCGACCCTCTGAAGTGTCCCACGGTCGCATCAGCTCCAGCCCCTCAGAGGAAACCCCCCGCAAGCCATCCGCCAACCGGGGCAAGAGGCGACGACGCAACCCCGACTGGGACGAGTCTCAGTACGAGACCGAATACACCACCGGAGGAGAGACCGGCAACGAGCTGGAGAAGGAGGGCTGGGACAGGTCAGAGCACTGGGACATGTCTCCATTCACACTATCTCACAGAAGATACACCCTACAACAGCCAACGCTCTTCTCTGCCCAGCTTCACTCAAAACCTGTCCTGCCCTGGGGGGTGGCACTGTGGAGGGTGGCACCGTGGGGGGTGGCACTGTGGAGGGTGGCACCGTGGAGGGTGGCACCGTTGGGGGTGGCACTGTGGGGGGTGGCACCGTGGAGGGTGGCACCGTGGAGGGGGGCACTGTGGGGGGTGGCACTGTGGAGGGTGGCACTGTGGAGGGTGGCACTATGGAGGGTGGCACTGTGGGGGGTGGCACTGTGGAGGGTGGCACCGTGGGGGGTGGCACTGTGGAGGGTGGCACTGTGGAGGGTGGCACTATGGAGGGTGGCACTATGGAGGGTGGCACTATGGAGGGTGGCACTGTGGGGGGTGGCACTGTGGAGGGTGGCACTGTGGGGGGTGGCACTATGGAGGGTGGCACTGTAGGGGGTGGCACTGTGGGGGGTGGCACTGTGGAGGGTGGCACTGTGGGGGGTGGCACTATGGAGGGTGGCACTGTGGCGGGTGGCACTGTGGAGGATGGCACTGTGGAGGGTGGCACTATGGAGGGTGGCACTGTGGAGGGTGGCACCGTGGAGGGTGGCACTGTGGGGGGTGGCACCGTGGAGGGTGGCACCGTTGGGGGTGGCACTGTGGGGGGTGGCACCGTGGAGGGTGGCACCGTGGAGGGGGGCACTGTGGGGGGTGGCACTGTGGGGGGTGGCACTGTGGCGGGTGGCACTGTGGCGGGTGGCACTGTGGAGGGTGGCACTGTGGAGGGTGGCACTGTAGGGGGTGGCACTGTGGGGGGTGGCACTATGGAGGGTGGCACTGTGGCGGGTGGCACTGTGGGGGGTGGCACTGTGGAGGGTGGCACTATGGAGGGTGGCACTGTAGGGGGTGGCACTGTGGGGGGTGGCACTGTGGAGGGTGGCACTGTGGGGTGTGGCACTGTGGGGGGTGGCACTGTGGAGGGTGGCACTGTGGGGGGTGGCACTGTGGAGGGTGGCACTGTGGGGTGTGGCACTGTGGGGGGTGGCACTGTGGGGGGTGGCCCTATGGAGGGTGGCACTGTAGGGGGTGGCACTGTGGGGGGTGGCCCTATGGGGGGTGGCCCTATGGAGGGTGGCACTGTAGGGGGTGGCACTGTGGAGGGTGGCACTATGGAGGGTGGCACTGTGGAGGGTGGCACTGTAGGGGGTGGCACTGTGGGCTGCTGCAAAAATGCAAGCACAGAGGCTTGCATTTTTCAGACAGAAAAGTAAAAAAGAAAGCGCAAAGCATCAAATTATGACTCACCCTTATCTTCCTACAAGCTCACCAAAGTAAGGCGAAGACAGGTGTAACAGTTTTTATATCTCCCTCTCCCGTGTTTACAATCTGAAAGCAGCGCATGGTACAGTGTGGGACCGTCTACAGCCAGGGCTGAACCCACAGCGGCTGAAATGACTGGACTGGAAATGTCTCAAAATGAAATGAGAAAGTTTAAGACTGAGGAAACACAATTTGAATCATCTGACATTACCTTTCATAAACTAAAAGAGCATTTGTGTAAAGCATACAGCAGAGCTAAACTAAACTGTTTTATTTATTTGTATTGTATATTTTTGCAAGAACCCAATGAATGAGCTCAACACCAGGAGAAATGTTGTAGTAACTCACAGTAAATTATTGCAGTTATTGTACAGATACTTTAAAAGGTCTGCTGGAAAGTTTTAACAAATATCTTTCCCAAATCGATCACAAACTCAAACGTTTTTTCAGAGAGATCCATGTTTCAGTCATTTACACTCTGTTGTACTGCCCAAGTTTGCATTGATCTTGCTCAGTCACATCAACAGCTCAAGATGGATCCACAGCTCTGTGTAGTCTCACTATGAATCAAATATAGCAATCATTTCATCAAAACCAGACTGTTGCTTATGTGTAGGGCAGGCAAAAAGTTCATAAAACTAGATAGATACTGTATCGATCCCTGTCGGACAAATTCAGGTGTCCAGTAGCAGCAAAAAATAAAAAATAAAATGGATAATTCTAAAAAGCTAACAATAGTAATAATCAGCAACAGCCTCAGGTCACAGCAGCAGAGGTGGAGTAGCCTCTGGATGGAGCAAGACGGGTCACAGCAGCAGAGGTGGAGTAGCCTCTGGGTGGAGCAGGACGGGTCACAGCAGCAGAGGTGGAGTAGTCTCTGGATGGAGCAAGACGGGTCACAGCAGCAGAGGTGGAGTAGCCTCTGGGTGGAGCAGGACGGGTCACAGCAGCAGAGGTGGAGTAGCCTCTGAGTGGAGCAAGACGGGTCACAGCAGCAGAGGTGGAGTAGCCTCTGGGTGGAGCAGGACGGGTCACAGCAGCAGAGGTGGAGTAGCCTCTGGGTGGAGCAGGACGGGTCACAGCAGCAGAGGTGGAGTAGTCTCTGGGTGGAGCAGGACGGGTCACAGCAGCAGAGGTGGAGTAGTCTCTGGGTGGAGCAGGACGGGTCACAGCAGCAGAGGTGGAGTAGTCTCTGGGTGGAGCAGGACTGGTCACAGCAGCAGAGGTGGAGTAGCCTCTGGGTGGAGCAGGACGGGTCACAGCAGCAGAGGTGGAGTAGCCTCTGGGTGGAGCAGGACGGGTCACAGCAGCAGAGGTGGAGTAGCCTCTGGGTGGAGCAGGACAGGTCACAGCAGCAGAGGTGGTGTAGCCTCTGGGTGGAGCAGGACGGGTCACAGCAGCAGAGGTGGAGTAGCCTCTGGGTGGAGCAGGACGGGTCACAAGGTGGAGTGGCCGCTTGGTTCGGCCCATTTTCTCTGCTCTGGTCTGGACCAGTGTAAAACCATGAACACTGTACTGCACCAATATCTCAAATTGAAAAAAGCAGGAAAAATAACAACTGTAAAACACAAAACAACTGTTTCAGAGACACTCAGGACGTAAACAAAAAGTAAACAGACAGACCAGAGACAATGCTTCAATAATGACACATTTTCCTTGTGTTTAAAAATGGTTAATTCCTCTGCCAGTGTGTTTGTTGTTTTACATTTGTATGCAGTTAACTGTTGTGTTTCCAGTGCAGTAATGTAAACAATTATCTGATATTTCACCGTTCACCTTCCTACAGTTATTCGTCTGCTGCATGAACTTGAGCTGTCCTCAGACCAGCGCTTCTCTAAGCTGCTTTCATTCTCTTTGAAATATCCATGTTTTGTGGCAGATTGCACTCAAATTCCCAGCGTCCTTTGGGATCAGACCTAAATACTCAGATTTAGGTATAAAAATAAAAGAAAAGAAAAAGCTTGTAGTTGATGACAGTTGATTTTGTGCTGTGGAATACGCTTTCATCCTAATCAAATACATGTATTATATAGTTATCATACATATATATTTCTATGTACATGCACATGACATAGTAATTAATTATATATATCAGTATTTTTCATAATTTTGATAAGAATAAGAATTCTTGTATCCTTCTCATGAGAACGGGCTGAGGCGTGTGTAGTTAGTGTATGGTTGGAGAGAGGTTAATCTGCTGAGGTATTCACTCTGGTCACTTGTGCTCAGGATCACTGCAGAACTGGGACAAAGCCACACAACAGCAGCTGAAGTAACTCTTGTAGGCTCTATGCTTCAGATGCAAGTGGAAATGCAAAAGTTTATATCTGTTCCTGCCCAAAACATTGGAAAAACTGTCTGCTGTGGACACTACAATGAGCACACAGCGCCCTCTTCTGGCAGAGTTCTATCACTGCGCCTAACTGCCAAGCGTTATACAGGTCTTCACTGATTTAAAAACAAGCAATTAAATACACAAATATGAAAAGTTTGAGCATTGCCCACTAACAATAGGGCAGAGATCAACACACTGCAGACTTATATTAGCTGTAGCGGTGTAACTACGTTGATCTCCAAAAAAAAGGGACTTACAGTAATGCCTCGACTGATGTCAAGCAGCATTTAATTTCATACAGGCATTTGGAACACCGTGAAAACTACAAAGATGAAAGGACAGCTTGTTGTTAATTTCCATACAGTAAATCACAAATTGTTACAGGTCTCAAAATAAAAGACACAATTAAATAAAAAGGTCACCGTGTGCGCCTCAGTCGACCAATCGTAGAATAATACTCTTTCCAAGCTGCAAAAACGTCTCTTTATAACAGCATACTTTAAAAATACTTCTCCATTTCTTCTTTGACTGAGCAAGAGGAATGTTTTAAGACTGGCCTTGAACGTAGAGTTGTGTCCTCATCCTTGACGTGAATGGGGAGTTGATTTCACAGTAGCTTTGTAGATTAGAAGTCTACTCTCACAGCAGCATAATGTCTATCAGCATCATATAGTGTTTGGAGACTTCAGCTTCAGACTGACTTTGGCTCAATCCCATGTTGAGAGAATGTGTGAATGGTGAATAATAATCCAATAATGAAATGCCTTCTGCCTACTGTGTCCCCTCTGTCTGCAGAATGTACCCGGAGATCAGCTCAGACTCACAGAGATATGACTACAAGGAGGAGTTTGACACAGATCTGAAGGACTACAAACGGCTTTGTGCGGAAATGGACGACATCAACGACCAGCTGAACAAACTGAGCCGGCAGCTGGACACTCTGGATGACACCTCGGACAGATACCAGGTGTGTGTGTGTGTGTGTGTCTGTGTCTGTGTCTGTGTGTGCAGCTCTATCTAGTGTCACAAGTGCGGTGCTACAACTGAAGCCATTGGAGTTGTGTGGGCATTTACTGTTCTAGAGTTCGCTCTGGGAATTGTTCCAGTCACTTTGCATTCTTAATAACTTTGTACAACGGCCACTGGTCCACGTTCTGTAGCTTAGGTCCTGGATCTACAGCCCGTCCGTCCGTGGGAGCGGATCCCTTTCTCAAACTATAGGTCTCCCCGAGGTTTCTCACTTTTTCCCACTGGGTTTTCTTATGAGTTGTTCCTCTGATGCAGGAGTCTGTTGGACAGTTAGTGTCCAACTAGAAGGACTGTGATGATCCAGAACACTTTAACATTCTACAACATGTGACATTTATCAACATGTGGTCTATATTCTTTATGTGTGTTAACTGTTATTCTCTGATCTGTGTTATTTCAATAGTTTTGTTAAGTCTCTGAGATGATGCTGTTGTGATTTAGGGAAATACAAGAATAAATTGTATTGTGTTGTATTGTACCTCAATGTTAGATTTAGATCTAAATCTAGCCAGAATGTTATTTCCCAAGTCAATATTCATAAGATCAGGACCAATACAGTAAGGCAAGGCAAGTTTTTTTGTATAGCACAATTCATACACAAGACAATTTAAGCTGAATAAAACAAGAAAGCATTAAAATCATAAATAATCACAGAACAGGGACTGCAGATGGAAACAGCTGTTTAGCTTTAATCTGGTGCAGAACATATCTGTCTTTGAGCTTAATGTCTCTGTACACTGTCCCTTCAAATAAAGACTAAACTAAACTAAAAAAGAAAGATACAAATATAAATTCCCTCAGTTGTAGCACAGCTAAACAGAACTGTTTATGTTAAATATTTTTCTTTTGGAATATATTTCGCTTTAGTTGCTCTGTGTTTGCTGCTTGTTATGTATTATCTAAAGACATAACTTTGTGGTCACACTGTGGATCTGGAAAATTAACGATTAAAACTATTGTTCAGGGTTTCTTTGGTCAGTGATGTCTATGTCTTTAACGACAGAATGTTTCTCTGTCTTCAGGCTGTGGCAGAGGAGTATAATCAACTGAAAGATCTCAAGCAGGTGAGCCACCAACACACAGCAGAGAGCGGTCACACCGTAACCATGGAAACACAAAACTAGAATTGGGGATTTCTAGAAACATAGTTAAACCCAATCCAATTATAGAGCTGTTCTATATTTCTGAATTTCTCCAGTCAAATTACATCTTTTTTTACTCATCAAAAATATTCTTTAATCATTTCAGCTAATCATGTTCCACTCCACTGGTAAACGTATACATGTAGTCATGAGTTTATGCCAACACAAATAATTAGGGCTGTCAAACAATTAAAACATTTTAGTTGATTAATCGCACAGAAATGGTGAGTTAACTCACGATTAATTTTAACATTCTATTTCAAATCCACTCCAAATGAAGTTAAATGAGATTATCAAATATAATAACACATGTCATTCAGACCAAATGTACTTAAATCTGTTAGATTCACAACCTTTTGCTTTGGGCACAACCAAAATGAGCTGTTAATGAAAGGGGAAAATAAGATAAGATAAGATAAGATGTGCTTTATTTATCTCACAGAGGAGAAATGTACATGTCACATTTGGCATGGATAGAACACTCAGATTGTGCAAAAGGAGGAAATGTGCAAACATGTTACATGCAGGATATGTGTACAATAAAGTGACAATAATTATGTACAACAAAAGTGACAAGTGTCAATTGGAAACAGTGTCAATAGTAGTGCAGGTTTTCACACAGTGATCATTTAAAGTGACTTATTGTACAGTCTGACAGCAGTGGGGATAAAGGCCCTGCTCCTTCCTACACTGAGGGTGTCTCAGTCTTCCACTGAAGGAGCTCCTCAGCTCCTCTACAGAGTCCAGGGGCCTCCTGTCCCTCACCTCCTCCACAGAGTCCAGGGGCCTCCTGTCCCTCACCTCCTCCACAGAGTCCAGGGGCCTCCTGTCCCTCACCTCCTCCACAGAGTCCAGGGGCCTCCTGTCCCTCACCTCCTCCACAGAGTCCAGGGGCCTCCTGTCCCTCACCTCCTCCACAGAGTCCAGGGGCCTCCTGTCCCTCACCTCCTCCACAGAGTCCAGGGGCCTCCTGTCCCTCACCTCCTCCACAGAGTCCAGGGGCCTCCTGTCCCTTACCTCCTCCACAGAGTCCAGGGGCCTCCTGTCCCTCACCTCCTCCACAGAGTCCAGGGGCCTCCTGTCCCTTACCTCCTCCACAGAGTCCAGGGGCCTCCTGTCCCTCACCTCCTCCACAGAGTCCAGGGGCCTCCTGTCCCTTACCTCCTCCACAGAGTCCAGGGGCCTCCTGTCCCTCACCTCCTCCACAGAGTCCAGGGGCCTCCTGTCCCTCACCTCCTCCACAGAGTCCAGGGGCCTCCTGTCCCTTACCTCCTCCACAGAGTCCAGGGGCCTCCTGTCCCTCACCTCCTCCACAGAGTCCAGGGGCCTCCTGTCCCTCACCTCCTCCACAGAGTCCAGGGGCCTCCTGTCCCTCACCTCCTCCTGACCAGCTTGTTCAGTCTGTTTCTGTCCCGCTCTGTGCTGCCCGGGGCCCAGCACACGGCAGCGTAGTAAATGGCAGAAGCTACCACAGAGTCATAAAAAGTCCTGAGCAGAGGCCTGCTCACTCCGAAGGACCTCAGCCTCCTCAGAAGGACCTCAGCCTCCTCAGAAGGACCTCAGCCTCCTCAGAAGGACCTCAGCCTCCTCAGAAGGACCTCAGCCTCCTCAGAAGGACCTCAGCCTCCTCAGAAGGACCTCAGCCTCCTCAGAAGGACCTCAGCCTCCTCAGAAGGACCTCAGCCTCCTCAGAAGGACCTCAGCCTCCTCAGAAGAACCTCAGCCTCCTCAGAAGGACCTCAGCCTCTTCAGAAGGACCTCAGCCTCCTCAGAAGGACCTCAGCCTCCTCAGAAGGACCTCAGCCTCCTCAGAAGGACCTCAGCCTCCTCAGAAGGACCTCAGCCTCCTCAGAAGGACCTCAGCCTCCTCAGAAGGACCTCAGCCTCCTCAGAAGGACCTCAGCCTCCTCAGAAGGAAGAGGCGACTTTGGCCCTTCTTGTGCAGGGCGTTTGTATTATGGACCAGTCCAGTTTATTGTTAATGTGAACACCCAGGTACTTGAAGCTGTCCACCAGCTCAATGTCCTCCCCCTGGATGTTCAGCAGCGTGTGGGAAAGTGGTTTTCTCCTGAAGTCGATGATCATCTCCTTGGTCTTACTGGTGTTCAAGCACAAGTGGTTGCGCTCACACCAGTCGACAAAGTCCTTGATAACCGACCGATATTCCAGTTCGTTCCCCTCAGACACACAGCCCACGATGGCGGAGTCGTCGGAGAACTTCTGCAGGTGACAGCTGTGTGTGTCGTGTGTGAAGTCTGAGGTGTAGATGGTGAAGAGAAACGGTGAGAGGACAGTGCCCTGAAGGGCCCCAGTGCCCTGAGGGGCCCCAGTGCTGCAGACGACCACCTCAGACTCACAGCTGCAGCCGCACGTACTGTGGTCGGTCTGAGAGGTAGTTGATGGTCCATGCAGTGAGGTAGTTGATGGTCCATGCAGTGAGGCTACTGTCCACTCCCGCGTCCTCCATCTTCCCCCGCAGCAGTGCCGGCCTGATGATGTTGAAAGCAGTGGAGAAGTCGAAAAACATGACCCTCACAGCGCTCCCGGCGGGCTCCAGGTGGGAGAGCGTCCGCTGCAGGAAGTAGATGACGGCGTCCTCTACTCCGATGTTGGGTCTGTAGGCGAACTGCAGCGGGTCCAGGGTGGGGCTGACCACGGAGCGGAGATGGGTGAGGATGAGCCGCTCCATTGTCTTCATCAGGTGGGAGGTCAGTGCTCCATGGTCTTCATCAGGAGGTCAGTGCTCCATGGTCTTCATCAGGTGGGAGGTCAGTGCGACTGGTCTGTAGTGAGCCGGTTCCTTGGCATGTGCTGTTTTAGGAACCGGGATCACACAGGAGGTCTTCCACAGGACAGGGACCTTCTCCAGGCTGAGGCTCAGGTTGTACATGTAGCTGAGGACCCCAGAGAGCTGGTCTGCACAGGTCCTCAGCAGCCTGGGACTGATCCCGTCCGGTCCTGCGGATTTCCTCAGCTTCAGGCGCTGGAGCTGACTCCTCACCTGGTCCGGTGTGATGGAGAGGGGGGGGGGACCGGGGTGTACTGTCCGAGGTGGGGGCTGGGGATGCGGGGGCATCCGCCCGGTGCTGGTCTCCATCTGTTGTTCCTCTGGCACTCTGTCCAAAGCCGGAGATGTTCTTTAGGCCTCTCCACACGTCGCGGGCGTTTCCCTGGGCCAGCTTCTGCTCCAGCTTTTTCCCATAGTCCTTCTTGGCCCTCCTGATCCTCCACTGGAGCTCGTGCTGGATCCTCTTCTGCTCCTCCCTGTCCCCTGAGATGAAAGCCCTTTTCTTGAGGTTCAGGAGGGCTTTAAGCTCAGGGGTCACCCATGGGTGGTTGTTAGAAAAACACCGCACCTTCTTAGTTGGTACAGTGTTATCCACACAGAAGAGAATATAGTCTGTAATGCAGTGTGTCAGGCTCTCCATGTCCTCACCATGAGAGCAAACATCATTTCCCAATCAGTGATTTGAAAACAATCTCTCAGCATCTCATCCACATCATCGCTCCACACTTTTACAATCCTCTTCTGCGCTGGATTTCTTCTCACCACTGGTGTGTATTCCGGAGTACATACCCCAGCTTTAATTTAGCGAGTTTAGTTTAGTTTTCAGGAGGAGACACGGTATTTGCGTGCACAGGTTACGCTCAGGTTGCAAAGACACAAACACAACATGCAGACAATAGTCCTGTGGCGTGTATGGTCTTATATGACCACATTACCGCAGGTCCATTCACCGTGTTGTTAGTGGCTCACTGCCACTAACAACCAGAGCGGCCGCAGCTGCCCCCGGGGTTTGCCCGGGAAGGTGGACTTCAGTTCATAGACTATAGCCGCAAGGTCATGCGCGTATTCTTTTA